GGGGGGGGGGGGGGGGGGAGTGCCCACCTGATTACTGTGTCAAACAAAGTAGCATCATCCTTGTAAGTCTTCAGCAAAGGCAGAAGGTCATTTTGTAGAATCTGAGCACTGCCAAGCTGGCGACGGATGTCACAAGAGTCATCCTCTCTCTTCAAGAAACGGATTAGGTCTTTGACAGTCTCTGGTGATGTAACAAATAAAAAAAAAAAAAGAAAACAAATGCATATATGCAAACACAGTGAAAAAACTTTGCAAACACATTTGCTGTACTAATTATCACATGGGAGTTTCTTACACAGCTCAATCATTTTATCACTTAGATTGATAATTGGAGCTGTACGTTTACCAAATATTACAGTATTACAGAGCTAAAATTAGAACATCACTGAAACACAAGGGCAATACAGCTGATACCCAGTACGTTGGAATCAAATGCTATGGTCACTGAACTATGATCCATCCAGGTCTTACCCAAACAGTCTGGTTCCTTGACATATTTCCCGTCTTCCTGGTACCCCAGGGCACTGCAGGTAGCCTGGAGCTCTACGTGCATCACCATTACTACCTTATCAATGTAAAAAATAGTAAAGAAACCAATTACACAATGATTTTGTTTTATTTTTCATAAAATATTGATACGCACGATACTCAACAACATCTAGCCGTTTTCTCAATCTCATTGCCAGCATGTTCATCTTTCGTTTACATTTACAGTCTGGTAACTTTTTAAAACCTGTCATTTGACTCCACACCAAATTACAGCTTCCTTTACAATATACAACTCATTTGAATTAAGAGTTTACGCACAAATCTTAGTTCTCTTACCTTATCTGGATGAATACAAGCGCGAGATTTCGCGCCGGATCGATATGGAGGCTAACGACCTTCACGAAATTAGTTCAAGGTCACGCAAAATGAATTCTCAACTACAAACTGCTTGATAGTGAAGAAATTACGCAATAAATGAAAAATATAAAATAAATATAGTGCATTTCCTGTAAACGGCAGTCTTACATATGTATTTTGAAAGCAAGAGCTGTACGTACCGCATTTTCTGCTTGTCATAGAAAAGGACGTTTTATAGATAGCCTACCGTTATCAAGTTAATACAAATGTCCTAAAGTTAATCAGAACATCTCCACGTGGTTATTACTCCGTACAAGGCAACGTTCACCTTAACGACTGAAGGAAGTAATATATATATATATATATATATATATATATATATATATATATATATATTGCCTTTGTAAGCAGGTGGACCCTATATGTTTTTGGTACAGAAAAAGAGGTACAAAAACTTTAGTTAAAAACACAAAAGTAGACACGATCCTATTGAATTGTTGCAGTCAGCTGTATTTTATAGTTTGTAGTCATTAGTTTACATTGTAAAGGGATAGGGTTTTAGTGGCACTATTAAAAGCCCTCACTTAACAGTAACCAAGTGAATTTTTGAGTTTGTTTCAAAGACAAAAACCTGGTTAAGAAAATAGGAACACTTAACACTTCAAATATTACCTTTTTATTTTTTATTTTCTTCCTCTTTTTTTTAATGTCAACATTTCAATATCACAGTTTTTATAAAAGTGGGTCACATTCTGACAGCAGCTCCCTCTATACCCAAATGACATTGCCATTCCAGAGTCATGCAATCTGGTGTTACAGTGCTAACAGTGTTCTAGTTACACAACATAATTTAAATGAGAGCAATAATAATAATTATAGTCAAACTTGGTTTGCAGTGAGAAACTTTTCAATTAGGCGCAATGATGATGGACAAATTTTCAGTTTTATACAAGGGAATCTAGCTGCGCTGTTAGGAAATACATTAATCGTCTACTGAAATTGTCATGAAGTTAAAAATCAAGCCAATTTTGTTGAGTGCAGTATTGGTCATAAAATATATATCACTAAGACTTGATTCGTTACAGTATTGGCAAATGTGATAAGCAATTGTTATAAAAATATCAGTTCTCCAAAAATTGCAAAACATGTTCAACTTGAAATACTCAAAATCTACGATGTCCACATTTCTGTTACATTCGTAAAATGGTTTAATATTGTAACACGCCAGACAAGATATATTTTCTCTACAAAGAATGCATTCTCTCTGTGAATGAGAATATAGAATAATTGAAATAACTTTGAATCCTTTTTCACTGGTTCCCTTTAAAAAGCTACCTGAAAAAAATACAAGATGTAAGGCCTTAAGGACCGTTTGGCTCTTTGCATCAATATTCTGATTCAACTTTTGAAGGCCACTTGTATCTAAACACTAGTAGCCCCCAAAAGTTCTTCAGCTGAAAATTATATGACCTCATCCTAAGAACATGGATTGTAATCTTTTGGAAAAAAAAGTTTCCCCAATAAATTTCCTGTTTAATAGGGGTTAATAGTAACTACTACTATTACTTTTATTGGCAGGGATAAGAATAACAAAAGATTGCTGAAAACCTGTCTATGTCACATTCTTCAGACATGTAAAACTTTCAGTTGTGCAATGTAACTTTTGGTAGGTATGGTGAAATGTCATTTCATACTTCCCAACGATACAAACAGCCTCATGAACGCTCCGCTAACATCTCTACACATTACACAAATTTTTTACAAACATTCACAAAGGTAATGCATGCAACATTTGTTATCCTCTTAACACAATTTTGTATGCTGATTAACTTGTACAGACGTACTTCATTAACTCCACAGTGGGGCTTGGGCCTCTTGTACAAGCTCTCATACTGTATTTTAACAGACAACTGCATGAACAAATGCTACAATACAGACTTACTGATGTACATGCCGAAATTAAGCAAGAGAATGTTATCCAGGTATAGGTACAGTGCCTGGCAATAAAGAAAGAGACCCTTACCCACCCCAAAGCATCTGCAGTGATTGCCCCTCCCCGTTTCTAAAAATTCTGTGCAAAATGCAGTAGCTTTCCTTTCCAAATGAAGAAAAAGTCCTCCAAAGAGGAAACCATCCCATTCTTTGCATTATCATTTGTACATAAACTATCTCTTCCTAATTCCACCAAAACAACCATAGCATTCCATTAGCTTGAACATACTGATTGAACAAAGACCCCATGTGGTTGCTCCACAATTGTTTCAAAAATCTTTCCACACTAAGTGCGACATTTCCAGCTTAACCCACTGATAACGAATCCACAGTACAAGATCCCTCGCATCTCTGCCATCAGGTGACCCTCACTGTGCTGTACAGACCAAGTCACATGATCCAAGTGATCCAAGTCACATGATCACCTTACAGAATTGTGATTGGTTGAGGAGGGGGGTTCAGCAGTCCTCCCTTTACTCTGGTCAAAAGGGGAAGTCTTGTCCATTAGGATGGACTTGGAGGACGCTGTCACGTGACTTCCATAGGAACAGGGTTTTCTTGCTTCACGATAGAGTTTGTTTGATTGCCATCTTCATGATTTTGTCTGGAAATAATTCAGTAGAATATAAGTTACTCTGAAAAGACAATTTTTTGCGGTGCTCCCTTTCTATGTTGCATCACACTTATACAGTAGCATAATGTATAGGTTTGCTGCAAATTTTCACCAAATTTGAAAAATGTGGGATTCTCAAAAAGCATGCAGCTTCATTTGGTACATCTACTTGAAATATTGTTAAATCCAACCCAAACCCCTCATGAAACTGGCTCCATTTTCTAAAACATACAGATAAGAATACTTACCAAAAAAAAAAAAAAATGCAACAGAGTTGGCACGTGTTCATTTAACTTACTTGATTTGGTCTGCTGCTGTGTTGGCCAGTTTGAGGATCTTGGGTGAGGACGGTGTGACCGCCTTGGCCGCAAGAACACTGACCGGGGTGGTCTGGGAGTTCACTGTGCTGATTATGTTGACTGGACTTGTGGACACTGAAGACAGATTGCTATTGGACGTTGAAGTGAGAGGAAAGTTTAACTGCAGAACATTTTCAGCTGGTGACGTTGACAGACCATGTGCCTTGCCTAAAAATTAAAAGAACAGATGCTTGACAAGCTTTACAAAATGCAGTAAAAAAGTGTTCCATTTTTTTTTTTTTTTGAATTTATAACATCTAAATCTAAATGTTCATTGGTCTTTTTTTACAAAGGTCCGTTGAAAATTGGTGTTACCCAGACTTGTTAGTGATAAAATCTTAAGTGAGTAATTCTAAGAAAATTGTTTGCATCATCCAATAGTATTGATGCATAATTCCTGTTTGATGTTCAAATTTTTATGATACAAGCCCAGGTTGTACAGAACATCAAGAGACCATAAATAACACATTTCACAAAAAAGATGTCATTAGAAAAATAACCAAACTTTCTCTGAAATTAATGTCCATGACCATAACATGATTCACAGTTTTACATAAAATCAGTTTTTTTTTTGCCTGACATTGGGTAACAGAGTGGGTATATATCCTTAACAGTGTGCTCAGTGACCACTTACTGTCCATAATGGGTCCATTCGTCAGCGCAGCAGCATGAGCACCAGTCACCTGCACATTATTTACCACAGCAGACACCGCAAACTGCGCCGTGGCAGAATCCAATGTGAATCGGGACGTGGGCTGCGAGCAGAAGGAATGTCCTAGATTAATTGAGCTATCTAAAGTCTCTGTTTCCATTTTGATCAGCTGTTCTTGTTGCTGTCTCTGCATGAGTAACAGCTGCTCCTGGTGGGCCTGGAAGCTTTCTAGATTAAACTCGGTGCTGACTGGAATGGCAGTGTAGGTTTCATCCACAGTTGAAGACTGGTAGAAGTCCTCTTCTGTCGGAGTTTTTGGTCGGAAATGGGGCCTGAAAAATGAAATTTGCAGTATTTAATGAAGAATCAAGAACAGTCATAAATGGGCACAGAGAAACTAATTCATCATCTAATTCCAGAAAAAAACTGTGTTTTGGCACAATCCAGCAGATAACAATGTATTTCAACTCAAAAAAGTAAACCATTCAATTATTGCTCTACAGGACATGAACTAAATATGAGTTAAACGAGAGCCAACTGTAAGCCTGAACTCATCAATGACTTTATTCTCATGAACAAAAATGTGTTGTTAAGAGCAATCTAGTAGTTGGAATATACTATAATATAGGGATATAAGCACATATGTGAATAAGTACAATATTGTACATGTAGTTTAACGAGGAGACTCGATTCTCACCAGGCACATTTACCGACACAGTTCATGCGTTCAACATGCATCCAGTTACTTAATTCTATACTGAAACACTTCTACTCACACTTTCTCATTCTGAATATAATGAATGTAATCATCTATGTGAGAGTTCCCTGAGGTAGAACTGCTGATGTCTAACTCGTGCAGCGTATCGTCCCATGGAGTATAAGCTCGGTCTAGTAGAACCCTGGAAAAGGTTAAAACAATGATTCAATATTCAACATGGGTCCCAGTTACACCAGAGAGTGGAATCAAGAAAGATACTACCACGTACATTTTCAATATAGAACAAATTTCAACCCCTTTAACCATCTATAGTATGATTTACATGATTAACCAGACTTGTAAACTTCCAAGTCAGCACACCCAGAAATTTGCACCCACTTTTTTTTTTCAGAAGATTGAAAGGTGACCTAAATGAAAAGTATAACCTTCATAATAAATTCTGGCTATTTTTGCAAGAATGCACAGTTTCAACATAGCAATTAACCAACACATTTTGGATGAAGGATAAACAAACTAACCTTCCTCCTCGCCCAATCCTCCTCCGGACATATCCCACACACTGTCGGGGTGAGGACAGCGAGGAGAGATTATACCTATATTTTTTATCACCCCAGCCCCCTTCTTCTCGACTACTCCACGGCCAGTTGCCAAGGTAATCATCGATAGGCTGAAATGAAGAAATGTTCCACGTTAATTCATGTCTTCATTATTTATAATATATTTGTGGAGTTTACATAAAATAATGCAGACAATATTAATAGACTTACCCCAAAAATACCAGAAAAAACCTTGCATCTTACATCTACTATGGAGTCTTTAATAAATTATAAGTCATAATAAATTCATTTGCACATAATACAATATAACATTAAACAGTATTCAAAATCAAAGAAAATGTTGCTTCTTGTTCACAAAAAAGAGCTTAAGCTTCAGCTAGCAGTAGCTAACTGCCATATCTTATTTACAGAACAACATTCAATCTGCTAACACATAGCATGTGTAGAAAAGAAACAAGAGACTTACAGCTAAATAATAACAATTATTTTTTCTTCTAAATGCATATGGACCATCAGGATCATTTTCATCTTCATGGTCAGACTGAGAAAGAGGCTGAAAGACAAGAACATGGATGTGTTTTAAACAATCAAAACAAATGACACTATCGATATAAATGCGTTAACTTTTTTACAGATGAACATGCCTCCTTGACTCCAGTGTACTGGTCAAATCACCAGCTTCTCTGTATTCTACTCAAGACCAGGAGGAGGCTTGTTAATTTGTTAAACTGTTTGAATTCATCAAGAGTCCCAACTGGGGTGGATTGATGTACACAGAGAATTTCAATGGGAACAAGCCCAATCACGATCAGAAGACTAGTAATTAACAAATTCTGTAAGGATTGCATCACGGTAACCTGAAAGGCTAATATATTTGTTTCAGGTTTCTGGAGATTTCCTCTTGCAAAAAAGACAAGTGGACTTAGTTGAAGACTTAAAGGGATAATAACTCTTCGTTTTGGCCAATAAATGAATTTTCCTGAGTAAACAACAATTTGCCCATACTTATGTATGGTTAATGAATCCGTTTTTACATTCAAAGTTAGTCCCTGTTTTTTTTCTAAAAAGTTTGTTTTTTTGTTAAAATCTCTTAAGAGATTATAACAGAGTATAGCCATCAATGGAGGTCACGTGGTCTGAAGACAAGCTAAGATATCAGAATAATAGCTATAACTGCCGTTTTTCTTGTGCAACAGAATATAATATATTTCTATGAGTTGTTCACAATGTTTTTATTGTGAAATATAGATCTCATACGAAGAGTTATTATCCCTTTAATCACAACAAATTTTGCAATTAGACCTTCTTCCTGAAATGGGTGCCTAGCTGTACATCACATATTAGCATTCAGATGCCAATGTTATGATATGTGCAGTCCTGTATGAAAAGCCACTAAGGATCCTTACTGGTGACACTGGCTCCTCCTCAGAAGAAAAGTAATCTGTTTGCAGGATGTCCACCTCGTTGTAATGAGGGAGCTGGACTGCTTCCTGCTGCTGTCTCTGCTGGTTCTGCTGCTGCTTGTGCTTTCTCTTCTTGTATTCACGCTTTTTTCGTACAAAACCAACTTCTTCCTTTTAATAAGGAAAAAAAAAAAAAACATATCTCAAATGATATGTATAAACAAATTTTATAGTTTTTATATGGTTATTTACAAATGGTAATTGTGAAATAGGATTTTGCATTGTATCGATAAATTAGTGTAATTTGGACAATAATTGCCACAAATGGACAATATTAAAATTTAAACAAGGGTCAAAATTGAGGTCATTGATGCCTTTTTCTTGGAAACTTATCTCAACCTTGAAATCCAGGTTTTAGTCAAAGTTGTTTTAATGCCCCACCCCCAATAATGCATAGCAGCTACGCAAAGCAGTTTCTCAAATTTAAATTTCATTTACCTTCCAGTTATTGTATTGGGTTTGTATTGGCAAAAATGATGGAAATTTGAGCCTCTCAGCATTGGCCTCTGCTAATAGTTTGCCATCAAAGTCTGTGGCTTGGTATCTCTTCTCCACTATCTCTATTGTGAGCTTGAGGAGTTCTTTCTTGGCTTTCTCTCTTCGTTTGATCATTTCCAGTATTGTCCTGCAAAGACATTTTATGAATTAACATTTATATTTTGTATAGATTCTTAGTTGGCTAGCCACCAAGAACATGACAATCTCTTTCAGATGAGATTGAAACCAAAATCTTATAAATGTTTCAAGGCAATTTAAAGATAAATGAAAGACATTTGCCCAAAGCCAAATTTACATCTTTAATATTCCACGAGTGATAATCTTCACAAAGTTATCTTAAAACCTTTGAAATCTTCTCATACAATGGACCGAATTTAGAAAAGACTTACACAGCTTTACTGATGTCCCGTCGTAGTTTGAGCATTTTCTCATAAGATACTTCATCATTTTTACGATTCTGTAAACAAAGTACTAACATTAGTGCAGGTAAGACATCATTTCTTGCAAGAAGCAGTTCTGTTCAATTCATGGATACAAAATTCCACAATCACACATATATATGAAATTCACAGAGATTTTGCTGAAGTAAAATACATTTTATATCACACATGAAAAAAAAAAAAATAATACACATATTTAGCAGAGTTACTGAAACATGCATGACATGACATGACATATATAGCAGAGTACCACAAACCTTCCTTGTCTGCATCTTTTCTGTCCGCCGCCTGAAGGCCACATAGGGATTGTTAGTTGTAGAGCCATCACGTTTTTCTGTCTTCACTTGTGGAATGAGAGCATGTGCCTGAAAAATATAGAAGCATGCATAACCATAAATAGATATATGACTGAACTGCTATTGGAATGTGGGCAGAAAAAAAAGAATCACAAAAAATATGACCCAGTTCAAACATATAGTGGGGAGAATTTAATATCAAGTACCAGCATCTTTCATTTTTTTTTTTTTTGTAATGGGGGTCTTTGAGATCTGCCAAACAGAGTGATATGAGGTTATCAATAAGTTGTGCATTTTTTAAAAGAAAACAAGTACTCACAGTTTTTAACCTTTTGTTGAGCCAGTAGTCATACACAGCAATAATGAGATCATCATCTTCTTTTAGGAGAAGTTTGGCCTCCTGGAGAGTGACAACCTGGAAAAAGGATTTATAATTCTTCATGAAGCTGCCAAAATGATCTCATTCTTAATCTTTTTTTTTCCCCTGTTCTCTTTCCCAGAGTGACTGTGCTGTGAAAAACACAACGAAGAGCAAACTTTTTAACTCAAACCTAAATAATTCTAATTTAATAGCTAAATATCTGAGCAAATGTTAGGAAATGAATTGGTTAAGATTGACTGTCTTTCCTTTGCATGCTCATTAACTTAGAATTTCAGTTTAATGCAACTGTGGGCTTTCAAATTCTATTTCTTTCATCAGAAAATAGTTGACAACATTAATATACATATTGCAGATATTAATGTCCCTTTAATATCTAATATAATATTTAATATCTATTGAAGGGACAATAACATCTTTGTGCACTATCAAGCATAATAACTTTTTTTCTTCTTTTCAGAAGGCCTAACCTTTATAGGCAGCAAACCACAATTATCATCCAAGCGACATAATAATGCATTTTTCATGTGAAACAGTTATATAAGAAGGTTATTTGGTACACATAACTCCAATTTCAATCTCCATTAGTACACTGAGATTCAAACAAGCGATAGCGTTGATTCTACAGAAAAAGACTGCCTCTGACTGGCAGTGATGCATATTTATATCCTCTTAATGCCCAATACAAAACTAGGATTTACTTAAATTAATGGCAACTGCTAACCTGAACGTAACATACACACAAGGTTCAGGCTATCTTCAACTTCATCATTACTGCACAGATGGAAAGTGACGAAAAATATTGATTAATATGGCAAGCAGTTCTTTAATATAATTCCCTGCAATAGGGTACAGTGTGTAATCTGTTACCTGTTGTCCACTCCCTTTCTCTAGCCTGTCCATCATTTCCTCAAACTGGAGAGGATTGATTTCCATCTTTTTGGCCTGCTTGTTCAACCACTGTTCGTCATCAGAGTCCATATCGTAGTCCGGTATCTCCTGATCCAATCCAAAAGCTGGAATACACAGAGCAAATGCTAAATATGACTGAACATTTTTTATAATATGCCTTCCCTATCGGACTAAAATATAGACCAAAGGTAAGCTGACTGGGGGACCAGTCTGGATACACCCAACTCAAGAATAAAGCAGGTCTTCATTTCAGTTTGTATATCTTCAACTCATGAAAAATATGAAGTAGAACAGTAAAGCAAAACAACTATTGGCATTAAATGCCAACCAATTATTTTGTTTTTATAAAGGTGAGGACATCATATTTAACCCCTAGTATGTCAATCAATACTATTGTATTCTGTACAAATCAGTACAAATTTGAATTTTCAACATTAACAATTTGTCTATAATAATAACTAATAACATTTACAACCCAAACAAACAGGTTGACTCAGGCAGCATCTAACACCAGGATCAACAATAAATTACTCCAAGGCAAATTGCAGTAAATCAAATGGCATTTTATGTCTATGCCATGCTATTCCTAAAATCAACTTGCCCACAGGCAACATTTTGCCAACAGTTAAACTACCAGACGATGGAAAACAGGTGCCCTCATATAGCCAACTTTTATAAACTGAACTAAAAGGTATTTTGTTAATCCTATGCTGGATGTTCCCTCATCTCAAACAGCATAGTTCCCTGCCTTGAAAAGATAAATACACAGACATGAGCCCAGGTTAAAATAAATAAATAAATAAAATAAAAAAATACATACAAATAAAAAATCTGGACATTTATTGTGGAACCAAACACCTTACATTACTTTTTTGGGGTTTAATTGCTCTGGGGTCAAAGCAGAATCCACAGAAAAAGCTCATGTCTGAATAAAAGTCAACACTTACGCTGTATGTGAATATATTGTTTTGGCATTTTGCAGTCAGGTGCATACATCTCATTATATTCCCTTGTAACCTCGTCTATGTCCGGCACAGGTATGACAAGCCTCTCTGAGGTGCCGTAGACCTGTTGTGCTGACAGGGCTCTTTGGAGATGATGTTCCTATAAATGTATGTGAAAATGCTTTAAAAAAATCAGTTTTGATAAACCTCAGAAATAAATATAATTTAAAGAAATTGTTGTTTGCTTATATAAAAAACTTTTTTGATACTTATTTTGTATTGTATCACATCTGTATTTCTTTTTTCATAATCTGTTTTTAAACATCTGAAATTTTTAATAATTAAAAACATAAACATCAGGCTCATATGTACTAGTAATGGATAATGGTTGCTTAATTCAAATCTTTGGTTAAGGTATTTTACTCTATGTAACAGGAGGGAAGGGAGTTCTCTGTATGTATTCACATTGTTACTCCCCTTCCCCCTAAATTTTGGTTAGCTTTATTAGAGAAAGGTTTTAAAATTGGGAATTATGGGAAGAGCTCGGGGACGTAAAATGTTGTAGCCACTGCGAAGACTGACCTATCTAGTGTAGAACAGTTTCATTAGCTATGTTATTATAATAGACTTGTGAAGATTCTTTTGTCTATAGCTATTTATATTAGTTTGACCTCAACCTCATTCCCTGATGAAATCTGACTGCAAGCAGATGAAATATTGGATGGTAAGATCAAACTAATATAAATAGCTATAGACAAAAAGAATCTTCACAAGTCTGACCTATCTAGGTCTTGCTTTACCCAGATTCCAAGTATTTCTTTTTAAAAATTAATTCAAATATTGATCATGTGAATCAGAACAATGGTCAAAGCAGTTTACTCGGAAAATGGAGGGAAAGTAGGAGGACATGATGATAAAAAGTATCAAAATAAAAAATAATAATAATTCAAGATTGGTCTTAAGACAAAGTAGACAATGTCTGTAACTTAATGTACATAACTTTTTGGAAAAACGAACTAGCTTGTGTAAGAAAGACCATGTTTGTGGGGGAATTTATGACTTCATGTGATACACGTGGTTTTACTGGAGCAACTTCCGGGAATTTCCCACCAAAATGGTGGACACAAACACAAAGTCACGTGACATGCTTGATTTTGTAATACGAAATATTTACTTATCAGCCACAATCTTATTATTTTCTGGCGACACATCTCAAAGATTTGTATCATTTTTTCAACTTAAAGGCCTATAAACTCTGATGAGGGAGTGAGTCATAGCGAATTGAGATATGCATTTACCGCCATTCAAGATGGCGGGTCATATGAGAGCCCCGGATTCGAATGTGAACAATGAACTTACCGTTTCCTCCTCCTTTTCCATTCCCGTGGGCATTTGAGGCACTGCACGGTTAATGGCTGCAAAATCTGGAAGGTCCGGTATCTCCTCGGCCTTATAGACCGGCATTGGCTTGGAGGCGTCCAGCGCCCGAGCCCGGAAAGATAGCTTGCTCATTTTGACCCCAGAAATATGCAAATGAGCTCCCCTTCTACTTGGTTCACCTAATAACCACTTTTCCCACAGCCTACATACAAAATTTCCACCGATCGCTATAAAATAAATGTCCTAGTATCATAATGCCTAGTAAATGTTTTCTCAGGTTCGCTTGGTACACCGTAGATCGCAATCAAAATTCCACATAGTCTTACGAATTTTGCCTAGCCATCATGGCGGACGACCAAGCCCATGATCGAGTATCCCAGAATTCAGCGCGCGGGTACCTGCTTGCGCATGCGCTTTCATTCATCTTTGACACAACTATGAATGGAGTTCACTTTGGGACATAGATCACTGGAATAAAACCGCATTAAAGTATGTTCCAGTTTTATACAAGTGCTAAACATGTAAATAAATATATTGGCAGGTAAATAAGTTAAATTCGGGGAAGGACAGTTCAAGGTTTTTGGAGTACACATTGTAAATCCGGAACAAATAATGCACTATTTCACAATTATGTTACTGTTAATATGAATAGGGATACCTATATTATTAAACAGGTAACTTGCAAACTAGTTAAAAGATGCCAGTCTTTTTATCACTTATTTATCAAATGACACATATGCACATATGTTAACTTTTATTACCCCACAATATATTTCTTATTGCCTCTCTTATTATATTCTTATGTTTACATTTGTCAAAATCAGTTTATTTGGGAAGAGAGAAATTATTAAAGAACAATTTTTATTTTTTTCTCAGCCTAAAATATCTAGAATGCCACCAAGAGTTGTGATAATCCCAGGGAATGGGGCAGGAGATGTGTACCATGCAAACTGGTATGGCTGGTTGCACAACAAGCTTAATACCAAAGAAAACATTCCCTGTGCATTAGAAAACATGCCAGACCCTGTCACTGCAAGGGAAAGTGTGTGGATCCCATTCATGAAGGAGACATTGAAGTGTGATGAGAGCACAATTATTGTAGGCCATAGTTCAGGCGCTCAGGCAGCAATGCGTTATGCAGAGAAATACAAAGTACTGGGTATCATTGTAGTGTCAGGTTGTGTCACTGATCTAGGAGATGAGAATGAGAGAGCTAGTGGGTATTACAACAGACCATGGGAATGGGAGAAAATAAGGGCCAATGCCACATTTGTTCTGCAGTTTGGTTCTACAGACGATCCCTTTATACCATGGGAAGAACAGCAACAGGTCCATCAAGGACTGCAGTCAAAACTGCATAAATATGAAGATAAAGGACATTGCATGAATTCCACGTTTCCGGATTTATTGAATGCAGTGAAACATTTGGTCGTTTTTAAGTTCTGACTGAGAGTTAGTGTTCATGATAGCTAGCACTAGTCAAATGAAATATCATGCACATAATCTTAATAATTTAATCTATTTGGATGTGTGCATATAAATCTTTGTCAGTAACAATATTGGTTGAACCAAATAAATTATAAGCATTTAGTGTAAATTATGTATACTGGCACAAAAATAAATCTGTATCCTAACTTTTCATATGATTATAATATGCTTTTTGAGGCATTTGACAACTGAACATGATTTGTCAGAGTATTTAAAGCCAATCATACACTTCAGATGTTCAAATAAATATAAGTGAAAAGATGAAGAATCAAGCTCTTCTGTTAAAGGACAACCAATACAAACACTGTTGCTGAAAAAAATTGAGCAAGCAAATAGCAGTTTTTAGTATTGACCTGGACCTGGGCACAAAATTAAGTGAAAGTTATGAGCTTTCACTTAAGTCCCAATATTTCACTCGAGAGTTTAGTATACAAGACAGATCTTCTTGATACTATCTCTGCTTTGTCTCTTCTGTATCATCACCATTGTCAGGGGCTTGCATTTCATCAACTTTTTTTTCTAATTCTTTGATGTCTTCTTCATTGTCTGCCTGCCCAGTGGCTTCAAGGCCCAGATAATAGAGCTGATTTAGTTGATCTTCTCTAAAAGTATGTAATATATCCTCTGATAACTGTTTTCCTATCTGTGCATTCTTTTTAATTCCTTTAGGTCCCAACTGCTTGGAAAGTTCATATGCATATTTCTGAAACAGACGGAGAGAGAGACGGGTAGAGAAGTGCACGTATCAGTCATGCTGTAAAGCTAAGGCTAAGGTCCTGTAAAGCTATAAGGCCCTGACACAGAATATTAAGTGATTACATCTAAAAAAACTTTCCCTCCCAGACCATAGTCTACTTCAACATCCCATCACAGAAAAAAAAAGAATGTTTGCTATTTTAACAGTTACCTTCAATTTGGTAAGCTAAGCCTCCAAATACCATTTCATTAACCATTCCTCCTCAAATCATTTAAAACATATATAAAATCATTTAAGTAATTTAAAAATATTATCAATAACTTAGTAGTACTTGATTTACAATATATAAAAGATATATACAAAAACAGATTAATAAATAAAATAATGAAAATAAAATGACTTAAAACCTTTAAATTTGATGTATGGTTTTCCTTTTTTTTCTTGCATCAATGACCCATAGAAAATAAGTTTATCTGTGTAAAACACACACTCACTACCAGCATAGGTAAGCATAAACTGTTCTTTTAAGTTTGCCTTAAACAGTTTTAAAACTAGTCAAGAAAGCAGAACTTGATTACAATCCCCTTCAGTTATCCCTCTGCAGTCCTGTCCTTGCAACAAACAGAGAGATTACTATATATGGTACTTGTTTGCACATTCAACTTGTAACTTTATGGATCACTTGGACTTGTGCTCTTCAGTCTTAAATAAATTGAGGTTGATTCTTAATTTACTCATGTAAAGACTTACTAGTAATTATAAATAACTTAAATGATAATAGATAATTCATGTAAAACCACTGGTGGGTCCACTAGTCCAACTGCAGAATATTACAGTAACTTTGAAATAATCTGACATTCTCAGAAGTCTAACATTGCTTAAGGTTTGTGCCTATGGGCTCATTCCGGTCCCATTGAACCTGTTGGTCTACATAGATTGATCCAACACCGCAGGGACTCTCGCAGAATGCAATCAGATTAGCAGATTAACACTCTTCTTGATACCAATATATTTGTGTAACCACCAGCTTTTTTTGTCTTCTACTCAATGCCAAGATGAGGCATGTTCAACTGATTGCATTTAGTGAGGGTCCCCACCGAGTTGGATTGCTCTACACATACAAACAATTTCAATAAGAATAAGCCCCTTTAGTAATGACATGGGCTGCAAACAAAGTGTCTGCAGCTTTCCTGGATTTAGGTCAAAGACATCTTGATACAGGTCATTTTGTTTTCTGTGCTATTTCTTCCTAAATAAAATACAATATCTATAAAGCTTAGGTTTAAATTACAGGTATATTGCTCAAAACTTACTGTCCATTCCTCCAAGAACTTTGCTGCCACCTCTGGTTCTGCTGTTTTGTGTCTCTTGAATTCTTCTTTTACATATGAATCTCCCAGATATCTCATTTCATCAGGAAGACCTTTGTGAAGCCTAATAATTGTCTTATAGAGCAGGCGCACTCTAGATAAATGATTGGAAGGCATCCTGTTTGTGTCTATAAATTATATGATTTTTTTCAAAAGAACAAAGTAATACTCCAACAATTTCCTTCTAAATTCTTCTCCTAATTTCCAAAGTTGTGTCTGATATGCAGGCTGTATTATTGCATATTCATAACCAAAATCCCACAGAATCTGAAATATGAAGCAAAATTCCAATAACACAACTATTACAATTCTTATCAAAGTGACATAAGGCCATAGTTTTATAATTATCAATATGATATAACACTATCCTTTTAATATTAAAACATATATAAGAAGAGTTACACTAAGATCCACTGAGATGAGCTCAAGGATGGTCCATCATACCACATTTCTGCCTTCTGACTGCAGTTTGCATGACACATTTTAAAATTCCAACTCTTTTTGACTCAATTTAGGTCTTCCTCACTGCAAACTACAAATCTGTGAGGCCCTATACCACCCAGTAAACAGAGTGAAGTCTTTTAAGACTAAAAACACAAGTTGCATAGTGCAACATCAATTTGACTTGGATTTGCTCGTTCAGCTTTGCTCTTTAAGCATGTTAAAATTGCAAACTCTTTTTTTTTTTTTTTTTTTTGCATAAAAATGTATCGTGCAATTTATCGGGTTTGCCTAATAATCGAAATCTGGTTACACATAGCCGTAATACTTACAAAACCAACTACTTATGTCATGCTCGTACACATACTTACAACCGGAAATGACACAGAACAGAGCTTCCGGAAACATAAATTACCCAGCATCCATTGGGACAACTGGCCATCTCAGAGAGAGGGGACCGGCCAGATATGTAGATAGTTTTTCTCGAATATTGGTTATTTGGCAAGGTTGATGCATTTATATCTACCACTTTAAGGAAAGGAGGGCATATTTGGCATCTTAAAACGCTACAATTTGGCAAAATGGCGGACAGGAAGGCCGAACTGGAGCGCAAGAAGTTGAAGCTCCAACAAATGAGAGAGGAGAAAAAACGAAAAGAGGAGGAAAAAAAGAGGAAAGAGGTGGGGCGGGAATCAAGAAACAGGATCTACAAAGCTGTTAACTGCACAGTTTTGCTTATCACGTTTTGTTGACAAGTTTTTTATCCATTTTATAACATGTCATCGAAAATGTATAAAGTCAGCTAGCAATATGCACGATGAGTCATCTGTCATGTCTGCCTTGTTATTGATTTTTTAATGTGAATAGTGTTCGCCGAGGGCTGCGTTATTTTTCTGGGTAGGATTAGTTTGATTTTGAGTAGGTTTATACATGAAGGTATTTTGGTCACCTGAAAGAGACCAAATTATACGAAAACTGTCACTTCCCACCACATAAGATAAAACACCGGTAACCTAGCTCTAGGCTTATCTAATTATATATTTATATATATAATATATATATAATAAATATATATATATATAATAATGTATTCATGATTTTATCGGGTTGGTCAGATTAAATAATAGTGAGTTATTATTATTTACAAATAAAAGTTTGGGTTGTAAAATAAAGCATTGTCTGTAAAGGTTTTTTTATAAGCCATGCATGAACATGTGTTGCATGCTTTTAAGACATTCAATTTAAACATTTATTTCTTTTATTTATTCTGCAGCAAGTAGAGGCAGAACCATCTGGTAAAGGTGCAGCTCAACCAGAAGACCTCAGAGCAGAAACAGAGCAGATGCTCAAAGATTTGGGAATACCAGGTAAAGGACAAGTGTAGAAAGGCAGTAGGCATTGATTGACATGAATTTACAATCCTAAAATTGTTAAATTAAAGCTGGTTTTGAGAAGGAATGGAAGTTTACATTTTAGAAGAGACATGATTTTTTGTTTATTATTTGGCATGTTTTCTGTTTTAAAAATCAGTGATATTAGTATTGTACTTATTTTTCTGTGGTTAAAGAAAAATGATTTGGTGCCTTATCAGTTCCCGTCATGATATGAATGATATTGGAACTTCTTTCAAGCACAGAAACTGCAACAAAGCCAGACTTCTCCATACAGACCACTTGAACTTACAATTAATTTGACAAAAAAGGAATGAATTAATAAATAATTTCAAAATAAAAATGCAATATGGCCTCCATTTAATTAAATGTCTCTCTCTCTATTACCTTACAGCAACAGTGCCATCACAACAAGCTCCTCAAAAGACTGAACCTGTAACAAGCCGGTCTGTGCCGCAACCTGCCGTAAACGCTGCTGCACCACCAGGTCAACGTCTACCAGCAACGTGAGTTCTTAAAGTATAGAGGTCATTCTACACTGTTAATACAGGCCCATAGCCAGGGGGTTCAGGGAATTGGTCTGGGTAAATTTGATCCATGGACATGAAGGTTTCATGGTTAAAGGTCCATTTTTTTATTTCAGAAAAAGAACTCCCCTTAGAACTAAGTGGCTAAGGGTCTGTAATATTTATTTATTTATTTAATTTTTATTTAATTTTTTAAGTTAAGATAATTCAATTTTTACAAATTTGTGAAAAAAATGGGGCAGGGGTAAGCATTAGATAAGTTACAGAAAATAAATAGTACTGGTAAATACTGAATAGTGTAACATATACAGAAATATTTATATTACAATGATACTCTTGTCATGTTTTATTTATTTATTTATTTATTTATTTATTTATTTATTTATTTTTTGTCAGCCATGCATGAACATTTGTTGCATGATTTTAAGACATACAAATTGAATCTTTGTTTCTTTTCATTCAGTCCTGTCAATCTAGGCATATGCAATCTCACAAAATCATCCATGACACAAAGACACATGCCGCATTGTTTTATGATATATGATTGTTTCTTTTCAGTCCTGTCAAACTAGGCATTTCCAAACTCACCCAGACCACTATCCCACCCAAAGAACACATCACTTATAGCAAGGAGACACAGACCATCAATGATAGCATACATGACAGAGATGGTAAGTGTTGGAACAGATATGTGGCCATTCAAACAAATATATTTTATACAGATTCTGAGCTACCCAGTAAACAAGCCAAGTTGGTACCACGTGCTTAATCCGTCGCAATGACGTTGTAATGTGGTAGCAACGTGCTAGCCACGTGATCTGAACGTGATGTGTTTGCTGGGTAGTGTATATCTTCAAGCATTTTGGGAGTATTCTCTTAAGATTGAAGAAGTAAGAGTGTTTTTTAAATAGTGAAAAAATTTCAAGTAACTTTTACAAAATAACAAAAGATTTGACTTACTTGGATAAAGTGTGGACTCATTAATATCATGCCATATGTGAAGCTTTCTTGATCAATAATTGAAGCCAGAGTCTGCAAAATGTTATTGTGAATGGTTTATATTTGTTCTTATATTAGTTATTAATCAACATTTTCCTGTGAGTGTTATTTAAATTCGTATAAAGAATGTTTATTTGTTATTCATTTTTAACAATTCTGTGCATTTTGAATATTTGTAAGTTATTTGTTTGCTTTGGCTTTTCACTCTTGTTTTTTTGCATCATAACCCATCCTTACTGAACAATATTATAATACCAACATATCCCATTAACACTATACTGAAAATCCACTTTATATTTCATAATATGGCAATAAAAAACAGAAAAGAAAAATGAACTTTATTGCAAGATTTTTCTATTTTCCTAATTTCATCTTATAAGAAATAACATATTTGGAATAATGAGACATGCATCACAAAATATTTCCTAAAATATTGAATGCTCAAATAGAGTTCACAGTTGTTAAATCGATATCATGGTATTACCACTCACTATATAATATGAACTTTTTGTCCAAGATTAGTGGTAACCCTTTATATTCCCACAAGCTAATTGTTCCCATAATGAAAACCTGTTTTGCAAACTTAACATTTTTCTGGCTAGGCTGGTACTATACGTCCCCACTGTACTGTAAAACATAGAGGTCATAACAGTGAGAGTGAAACCCCATTAAGTTATCTCCTGTGATGATTCTGCTACAAAGTCTTTAAATATATATAAAATTTCAAGTGATGCTGTTGAATTTCCTTTCTCTCAACTTGAGTTGATAAGCATTTTGAGTTTGTTCAAGCACCCTCAGTTTGAGCAAAAATGTTCCAGGTTGGCCATAGCTAACATTATAAAAGCATTTCGGCTCGTGTTTGATAATTTTCATTTATTACCCTCAGTTTGTTTTTCTGCTGTCAAGTCTGGCGTGTTCAGACAGGACTAACTATGGTTATTGTCCTAATGTGTGTCCTCAGACAGCTAGGCTACAAACAAACTATTATGTCCTTGGAATCTGGGGATGGTTTCATAAAACTATTGTTTACTGATATTTTGCTTTGATTCTGAAGACTAGAATTATATTAACTTTATGAAACATTTGCTTTTTCTATAGTTTGCTAAAAGTTCCAAATGTGTTCCCTTGACAGTTTTATGAGTGGTCTAACCCACTAAATAATCGACTAGTGTGATGTTACATTTAGCATCAAGGAATCAAGTTGACTTTGCACAAGTTGCCATGTACCTGGAATTCTGATAAAAATTCCTAAGTCAGCAAGGATAGCTTTGTGAAACCACCACCAGATGTGAAAGTGAGACCTAAATTCTTTTTGAAATATAGTCCTAGTCTGAAAACAAATGTAGTTAAATACAGTTAATACCATAATTACTCTGTCTTTCCAATTGGGGGAAATTGTGAATTTTACAGGTACTGTATTTTTTTTAAGTCTAGTTCCTTTAAATTAGAACGTTCCTATTGAGTGGTAGCAAGAAAATAAAAAAGCAGGCTACTTCATAGTTGTATTCTATGCTGTAAAAGCTCCACAATTGCTACACTGAAATATATATGTTATCTTTTTATTTTGAGGAAATTATGTATCTGAAAGTTTGATTATTTTGCTCATTGGAAAGATTGAGTAATCACAGTAAGTTTTATATATTTATATATAAATGATATGCTTATCCTATGCCTTACAAAGGGAGAGGACCTTGGGATTACTATGGTAAGTAATAGAACATATGATTATACTGGATAAATATTATGTACATAGACTTTGCTTCTTGTGAGAAATTCACGTTGCTCATTTCTGTAAAATTGTTTGATTGCATTTTTATTCATGAGAGAATTAGACCAAATATCTCTGAAAATCTTTCAAATATTTTGGTTGTTTTACAACTCAATTTTTTTTTTTCTAAAAGGAGAAATGGATGAGGAATACAAATCATGGCTGTTACAGAAAATAATCTTAGCATAAAATTTAACAGATATTTCATTGTAGTACATAAATTATGAAAATGATGAAACTAGCAGTTGGACGGTCTAGTGCTCTCTTTATTTACCTGATGCAATACAGAAGCCCAAAATTAACGCACCTTCCAATACTACTCTTATAATAAGTCAGTTGTCGAAGTAGTTTTTTTTATAAGGCGGGGAAAACAATCTTAAGATTATAGCAGAGGTATTCCAGGTTGTTGTCTTGTGTATTATTTATAGCAATTTTTTTACTGAGTATGTGTGGTGTTTGGTTGTGTAGGATTAGTTGACGTTGTTTACTTTATTCTAGATTAATATCTGTTTTTGTTTTGTATAGGTTAAGGGAATTATCTAAATCAGGGTACCTAGTAAATGGAAAATATGTAGTTTTTCTGGTAAAAGAACAATAATATTTGCTTCTTTTTATTTTATTTTTATCAAAATGAAGTATGTAAGGTATTATAACTGATACAAGCCCAAAGACTTTTTAACATTTATTAATTTGGGTCATTGATGAAGCATTGATGACACATTTTATTTAGAAAAATTATGGCTGGGAAATGTTATAAAAGTATGTTCAAAAAAACCAATTTAAAAAAATTGAATGTCTTTTTGTAGGTATAGAAAAGGCATGACTGTGTACATAGAGATTAGTGTAAAAAAAAGCACTTGCTATGAATTCAAAAATGCAATCAAAATTCAATTGCAATTTTTTTCACATCATAAGAACTTACACTTTAGTCAATGATTTGTAGATGACAAACTCCATCGCCTCCATCATGTCAGTTCCCCACGCGTTGGTACGTAGGAGAAAGTGTGGTGTTTCATCTGTAAACCTAATGCTTTTGTAAACAAAGATGGCAAAATTAGTATTGCCTTATATTGAGCCAGCATTACTTGTATGTGCGGGAACAGTATCTTTTATAGTGCAATTTTAGTTTTGATTTTGTTTTATTACAAAAGCAGTAAAGTTTGAGTTGCGTTATATTGATAAAGGATAATGTTTAAAAAACTATAATTTTGCTTCTTAAATAGTCCGTTGTCTGTTGGTTAGATTGAGTGTCTCAGGAGTGCTGTGTTTATTGCAAGTGTCTGTGCACAGTTCAGCTTGATCATCCTTTTTAAAAATGGTCCTGTATTTGGAAGGTGCTTCTTAATTTTATCCCCCTTGGTTGCTGCCATGTAACATAAATATATATTCTAAAATATTATTTTTTTAAATTGTTTTCATATATTCTTTGATCAATTGTGGGAAATTCGTGAAAACAGACAGAAATATAAGCAATCTAAAAATTGAATTTGACCCAGAATTTGTGGCCCAGATTCCAATACTAATACTGTGCACAGATGCTTGGGCAATACGTTTTAGTATGTTGTGAGAATAGACGCTTGTGTATGATTTTTTTTTTTCATGTCAAACTTCTTAAGGTATTATAGAACATGTCAACTGTTGCACAGTTCTACCAGTAGTATGTGTTGTGAGCTAACATTCATGGTCAATTTTTAAAGCTTCTTTGGATGAAGATTTTATTAAAATCTTACTGTATGTGACTGGCATTTTTACCCTGTAAATCTAAAGATATAATAATGTGCTTTTAACCAAACGTAAATGAGGCTGTGTAGCAGGACAAGAAGAATGAAAAGAAGTTGTTTAAGAAGTGGTATTTCAAAACTGTTGAAAATTAAAAAAAAAAAAAACAATTTAATGAACAAAAAATAAAAAAGATAATGTATCATATAAAGATGTATATAAAAGTAAACAAGAGGGGAGCTTATCACATAAAAGATGCAATTTCTTCTCTTCTGTGCTTTCAAAATGATCAGTAGGCTCTCCTAGAGGTCAGGGGTCTCCCCGGGGATTTGGCTCTCCTCGACACAGTTCGGTCTCGCCTCTTTATGGCTCTCCGCACTCTGTTGGGTCGGCACGCTTTGCTTACCCCAACTTGGAGTGGGATGACGAATTTACTTTACAAGGTAGGATGGTTCATCTGAGCTCATGCTAGCATGGACTTTTTTGGCTATCAGCTGAAAAGTTGGCTTTTTGAGATAAAAAATTATATTTATTTATGTGATGTAAGTTGAAATCTGGCATTGGTTTTGGCTTTTCTTGAAGGTGGCCTAAAGCTGATTGGCCAAAACTAAGATGATGCTGAATGAAGCCCAGCTCTTAGGGAACTTTTTTTTTTCCTTTGGAATTGTTGTTCACCCCTCATATGGCAGAATGTTTGTTGTAGTATGCCTAGTTTGACTTGTGAATGAGTGTTCTTTGTGTTCTTGAAGTACAGTAGCATATTCAGTTTAGAATATTTGTTAGATAGGATGAAGTATGAGACAGTGATGCATTTCTTTTCTTTTATGAGTTTGTTAATTCTTTTTTACCTGCATGTTTTTGTGTTTTTTAAGCACAGGTTCTACTCTAAGAAAAATGATGCTCAAAATATAATGGATGCCTGACACAAAAATCGTAGTGAGTTATGTTCTTGACCATATTCAGTTCGATAATCACCAAAAGGCTATCCCGCACAAGAATCTCTTAAAGAGTGACCCATGGTAGTCAACAGTTTTAAAGAGTGGCCATCATGAATCTGGTTTTCTGGGAGAATGGTCATGAAAAAAACTGTGCACAAATGTACACTTTACCTCAGAAAAAAAAGATATCTGGGATATATTTGCATTAGGTTTACACAATGGCCATTGACTTAGTGAAGGACCTGTAGAGATAATTTTAAAATTTTTATTATTTGTCCTCTACTTTTCAAAATAGAATTTGAAGTATTTCTAAGCTGGAAGGTTGCGTTAATTTTTTGAGGTGATTTACCTCACATGCAAATTGTGCATGTTAGGTAAAAAAAACTGTGTTTGTTAACATTTTATCCTGATTCTAATGATGCTCAGAGATATTGTTTTTATTTCCATTCCCAGCTTGATGTTACAGTTACACCTTTTAATAAAAAATATTCCACATAATGCTAAAGATGACTGACGCTGCTCTAAAATTTTTAAACAAAAATGTTTGGCAGTTTTGTCATGGTTTGGCAATTGTATCATGCTTAGAACTCTTATTACAGTTGACATGGTGTGTTTTATCCAAGAAAAAACATGCATGTCTAAATTGAATGGAGAAATACAGAATACAGTGGAACACTGAAATTACTGAACGATAACTTTTTTAGTGCCTTACATAATGCACTGAAACCCTCATAAATATTTTATTTTTTTCTGAAACACTTGTCAGCTTTAATATCTATGTGTGGTATAATGCATTTCTTATATTCTTCAACTCTTTTGGAACTCCCTGTGCCAGAACTGAAATGCAGTGCATTAGGGTTTTGTTAGAATCAGGAAAACTCATCACATTTGATGGGGATTGTATTGATTTTTGTTTCTACTGCTCTGATGATGTAGTACATGACTTTATTGATTGCTGGCAGCAGGAACTGCAGCCCAGTATGGCAGTTTATATTTATACACATTTTCCAGTGTAATTATGAGGTTTATATGTATATAATTTGCTATTTGGCAAGAAGAACATTACAAATCTGACCCAACTGAACTGCCATTTGCCTTTGCAAAATAACTAGTCTAAGATCAATTCTTAGCGAAAATAAGCATTGGTTTATTATGTTATAACAGCAGTGGAGTTCTGTTAGCAATCATTAAAATCATGTGTATTTTATTTGTCACAAAGATTATTATTATTATTATTATTATTATTATTATTATTATTATTGTTATTATTATTATTATTATTGTTTCTTTTGAACTATCCGGGCTTTTATAACTTTTGTTTTTCATATTTTGCCATTTTAAAACATATGTAACACATATTATGTAGAACTGACTTTTGCTGTTGTTTCATGATTATGAGTTTATAAACTGGACTGTGTTTTTTATGTTGTATGTTTTTATCCCATCATGTGCTATCCAAACTGTGTGCCTAATATGTGTTGTACAAAGTATGTCATTTGTTTATGGTAGCAATACGGTTGCTCTTTCAGACATTGGTTTTTGGAGGCATAATTTGCATGCTAAAACCAAAGTCTTGTTGCACTTTTATTTCTTGTCATACAATAACAGAGTAAACAAATGGCACGGTGGGGTATCTCAAAGCTATATTATAATGTATTTATAATTTTGGTGAGATGTACACCTACCAGAGAAATGGAGTGGTGACTTAAAGTATGTCTATGAAGTGTTGACTAAAGTGTTGGCCTATGTCTTCTCTTGTTCAAATATTATTATTATAGTAAAATGTTTATAAGTTAGCCTTTGTCTATAGCAAAACTTTGACTTACATCTTAATTGTTGACCTGCCTCCATAGTAATGTGTTGACCTACATGTACATGTATAGCCAAGTGTTGACCTGAACCTACTAGTATATTTTGTAATTGTTGAATTAAGTTAAACGATGCTTGACCTTAACCTAAAATAATTTAACTTATATTGCTGCATGCTGGCAAATTGGACATAAATTGCACAGCTTTGCTTTATTTCTAATTTCACTTTGCTTTCATTGATTTACTAAATACTGAGAACTTCTGCATTTTAGTAAGAAAAGTGCAGTGTTCTCAATGTGCTATGTGTAATAGGGCGTTAGTACTGTACTAAGTTATACCAGAATTTTTTCAACTTACGCACTGTACTGTATATATGTATTTTGAAAAAAGTCTGGAATAAGGAAGTACCTTGGTTTCTAAATGTGCTTAGGGAAATTCACATCAGTTTATGTCACTCTGATGACAAACATGTCAGGTTTTGTGCTGTTTGGGTTACAGATGGATATTTTATTAGATGTAAAACTTTGTAACAAAGGTAACACTGGCTCGACCAAATGAAGGTGCTCTTTAGAATCTGTTCCATAGGTAGCACATCATCTTGCATGTAGTGGTACAGAGTAGACAGAGGGGTCACTCTGCTTTTAGAATTTGTGTATTTTGGCCAAATGCAAGGTTATAGGGAAAATGATTTTTTTTTTTTTTCAAAAAAAGTTAAAGCTATTTTGCCAAAAAAAAAAAAAAAAAAAAAAGTTCAGTGGCAGAGAGAACCCATGTTTGGCTCATTTTGCACCATAACTTCTGTGGGATACCAGTGCAGTTATAACTCATATTGAGAAGTACATGATGAAAATGAGACAATCCATCCCTAAATGAAAAAAATCCTGTTTGTCAGTGAGTAATCAAAGCTAGTAAGTTGGTCTGAAATATTGATGGACTTGTTATCCGAAGGGATAGAATGCAAATAGAGCTGTTCATTTACTGCACTTGTACCACCACCATTTTCCTGTTTCTTTAATTTTTTTTTTTTACTCCTCTTTGTAATTCGGTATACTTTAGGGGTGCGTCTCTCTCTCTTCCTGCTTGCTTTTTCAATGCCAGAGCAAACTTATTATCGTACCATTATCAATGACCTTGAACTCTAGTTCTTACCTTCGACGACAACCATCTAGATGATGACCTCGACATGGAGCCACGTTCTCCGCCTGCGCACGTGCATGGGATGCCCCACGTGGAGATGTTCAAGCCTGCGCAACAGGATGTGCAGCAGAAAGAAGAGAAGAAAGAGGGTAAGTCTCCAACTTAATCTTAAATATTTCATTAACAGACAGAAGTGTATCTTTTTTTACCTGGCCATTTGAAATTGGGATCAGTAGATCGGAAGAATTTATGGTCTGATTTTAGATAGGTCTTTAAATTATTATGATCATATTATGGCCATGCACTGAAAGAAAAAGAAAAATATGATAATAATTATTTTCCTTTAAAGTGCTTGTTTTAAGGAAATAAATATTTCTTTTCACATTCACGTGCATCTATGAACAGATTAATACATGGGCACAAATATTTATGCACAAATTGATACATGGACACAAACATAATGCACAGATTAATACACGGGCAAAAAAAAACAGATTCACGTTTTAATAATATGCCGCATGTATTAATATTATTATTATTATGTTCACTAAATCAGATGATGTCAAATGAGCATGAGTATATTAATTTATTTCTATGAATATTTTATGCTCACAATAGAGAGAAGAAAAGGTTAGTTGAAATGTTTTAGGTCCTGAGTAATTTAAAAAAAAGGTTTTAGAGTTGAAAATCTGTAGATTAATGTTGCATAAAGATAAATATACAGGCATTGAAGTCTTTTTTCTTTGAAAAATTCCATCATCAGTTACTTTAAAACTTAGGTTGGTTTTAGGTCTTATTACTATTCAGCAATAAAGTTAGCCTTCTTTGCACTCAGATATTTTGGGGTAACTTTAATGCCTGTATAATGGGAAACAATTTTTAAAAAGGGGTGGAAGTAATGGGATAGACACTTACAGTGTAAAACTTTGCCTAGTTGTTAGGTCCATAACAATGCCAATTGATATGCTATATGGTAATGTGGACAATTTTAATTTTTTAGAGATGAAAGTCTTCGTATTTATCTGTAAATGCAATTATTTGGGTACTCCCCCTCCCTCCACCACATAAAGTCTCACAACTTTGGCACCAATATTTTCTGAATTTTTTAGTCCCACTTTCATCTCTAAATTTTAAAACTATATATGATGGTGAAGGGTTTGGAAAATGAATAATAATTTGAAAATTGTCATAGTTGAAGCTTTTGGATAATAGCCTAGGGGAAGGTAGTGAATGGAAGGGGCTATGTATAAAATGTCCTTCTTTGGTTATAGTGATTTTATAGTGAAAGAGAAGTACAATTATAATATTCATTTGAAAAGAATTAATGAAGAGCGCTGATGCAGCATTGACATTTAAACTTGAAGACTTACACAGAATGTAAAAAGCAGGTTTGATATTTCATGATATTCTTTCCAAAGACTGTTATAGTCCATGTATAAGAAACTTTAACTGTCATTCTATTTACCACACTTTTTATGATTTGCTATAGTCCGTGAGCTTAGTGAAGAGGAAAAGCAGCAGATTATGATGTCAGAAGACTTCGTGCGATTTTTCGATCGCAGCACCCGCTTAATTGAGCGTGCTTTGGCAGAGGATGTCCCCAATATTTTCGTGGATTATTCAGGCACTGGAGAGGACCAAGAAGGGTGAGGGAACCATGGGATATTTTCTTAAATATGTCATGATAAGCATTAGTAAATATCATATTCTTTACTGAGAAAAATTTGTTCTGTATACTTCAGAGGCTTTCTCATATTTCAGAAACACCATTTCTGCCATGATAGCAATTTTGATAAAAATCTAAGACTCAATCTAGACTCAGCATGGGTACAAAATGTGAAAAGAAAAATTGGGTGGAGTGGGGTGGGGGGGTATTCCATTTGTTTTAAAGAGGTAATATCCTGAAAAACATCACTTATATTACATTGCATTATGTGGGTATTTTGCCATTCATGTATTTTACAAATTGCACATGCATTCACTCACACACACACACACACACACACACACAGGTTAATTATTGTTGATGACTTTGTTGTTTCAGGGATGCGCAGGGAGGAGTGAGACTCAAGATCAGCAGAGAGTTCTATGATGAGAGGTGGTCAAAGCACCGGTCAGTCACGTGCTTGGACTGGTCAACACAGGTAAGAGATCACCCATATTTTGGTCAGAAATGAATAACCATATTGTTAATAAAGTATTTTTTGGAAAAACAATACAGCATTTTGCTGACAATAACAAATTTTCTTCAAAGGTTAGCAGCTTTCTTTGCAGCAATTTATGAACCAAAGTCTGTTACATTCCTTAGCCTTTGTTTTTTGTTTCTCATCATTAAAATGAACTTCAGAATCTGAATTCTTATTCCTCAGAACCCTGAAGTTCTTGTTGCCTTTTATAACACAAATTATTAAGATACTGCATGATCTAGATGACATCTGTACATTTGTCAGGTTTACTGTCCTATTTGTAATTTTCTCTCTTTCCCCTGTTCACTGCACAGCATGAATGAAGAAACTGCATGATCTTCATGAATGAAGAAACTGCATGATCTACATCTGTACTTTTGTCAGGCTTACTGCCCCATTTGTAATTTTCTCTCTTTCCCCTGTTCACTCCACTGCATGAATGAAGAAACTGTGATCTTCATCTGTGCATTTGTCAGGTTTACTGTCCAATTTGTAATTTTCTTTCTTTCCTCCATAGTACCCAGAGCTTCTGGTTGCCTCCTACAACATGAATGAAGATGCTCCACATGACCCGGACGGTGTCTGTTTGTGGTGGAACAAAAACTTCAAGAAAACAACTCCAGAGTACATCTTCCACTGTCAGGTGAGCTGGATATAAGAACCTACCAGTACTTTGTTAAGATACTGTAGCACCAGAGAACCTCCTCCTCACTGACCTATTTAACTCTGTGTGTGTGTGTAAGAAAATTTCGTACTGTGTCATAGCAAGCTCTGTGAACATTCAATTTTAGATCACAGACTGACACTCCTTGGTTACTTAATCACATTTAAGAACATAGATGCTAGATGACTCAGAAAAACTGATTTGTAAATTTTTAATATTTTTTGTGATTTTTATGAAAACCAGCTGAACTTTTAGCAATTCTTATTTGGTCTCTTTTACTTTCAGTCTGCAGTAAACTCGATATGTTTTGCCAGATTCCACCCTAACCTGGTGATAGGTGGGACATACTCGGGACAGATAGTGCTGTGGGACAACCGTAGCAACAAGAGGACACCTGTTCAGAGGACACCCCTCTCAGCAGTGGCACATACAGTGAGTAAAGTGTGGATAGCAGTAGATAATAATATAATTTAGTCCTCTGATAGGGAAGTGCTAAATCTGAATAAATCTAGTTGTTGTTTTTGTTCTCATGACATTTTTTATGACACAAACAGAATTCATGATTATGAAAAAGAAATGATGATAAGCTAGAAACAGAAACAAGTGCATTGAGATTTAATGATATTTGTAATATTTGAACTTTCTAAAATTTTAGTACAGCTGGTACGCTTTTATGGTATATAATGGGCAGTAAGGCATGTTAGGCTAGAGAAAAAATCTCAACTCAATGTTGCCCATTATGTGGCACATTTGTCAACCAGGATTCTATTTTTAAATTAATATCTCTCAAGTAATGTCTTTCCGCTGTCTTTCCAGCATCCAGTGTACTGTGTCAATGTGGTCGGCACCCAGAATGCGCACAACTTGATCAGTGTGTCCACAGATGGAAAAATTTGCTCCTGGAGTCTTGATATGCTGTCACAGCCCCAGGTACATCAGTTAAACTTATCTACTTATCTCATGTTTATAATCTATGCATTTTTTTTACTGAACTGTTACAGTACTATGTTCATGTTGCTAGTAGTTTTAAGATGAAAAATTGAGTCAGGTAGCTGAAAATTTTAGCCATGTGGAGTTTTATTTTTAGCATGTGTATTAGTTCTGATTTTCTGTAGATGAGAAATATAAAACACAAAAACTGCCATGTGTTATGACATTGTATTAGACATTGATTTAATGTTGTGTTTATTACAGGACAGTATGGAGCTACAGCACAAGCAGACCAGAAATGTTGCGGCCACCTGTATGTCCTTCCTGTCCAGTGATGTGAATAATTTCATTGTGGGCAGTGAGGAGGGGGCAGTATACACGGCATGTAGACATGGAAGGTAAAGAATAATGAGAGAGAAGATTGCTCAGGTGCTATTGTGCTGTATGAAAAAGAATGAGACTAAAAGGAGAAAAATATTTAATTGAAAGCAGGGTTTATGGTGAAGTGTTTTATTAAAAAAAAAAAAGGAACTGAAATGAGTAGCACCATTTTAAAGCACTATGTGCATATAAGTTTATTTTAGGTCTAATTTTCTAACTTAAGGTATTTCATTGTGTTGTTGAATGATAGTGGATCCTCTTGCAACTGGTAATTATTAACTAACAAATGGTAAATTTTAGTCTGTGATGACCAAACACTGCGCAAAATTTAAGAGTTCCATGTTGACGAGTTCTGAGTACTTGTGTCTTGTTGAGCTCCGTGGTTCTCAGTGTTAACACAGTGGTTCTGAGGCTGTTGTAGGCTGTAGAGACTCTACCATAAGAACATGAGCATTTCATGGAAAAAATTAAGAAAATGAGCAAAAGAGAACTTAATTGATAAGCCTTTAAATTTACTCCTTACGCTTGTAAAAAAAGTCCTGTTACTTATCCCATGGTATTTTAGATTGTTCAAAATATTCCATCTATCCAAAAATGTTATCTTTTTATTCTGTCTACAATAACTGTGACACTTAATGTAAAGTGTAACTTTTTGCTACAAAATGATATACCGTATGTTAAAGTGTGAAAGCATTCATTTTAATATACTTTAACTTATTTTGATAAAACTTCAAACTACTACTACTGCTATAGTAACTACTACTACTACTACAGTAGCTACAAATAATTATAAAAATATTTTAAAATAATACATGTAAGAATAGTAATATGAGAGATACTGAAGTAAATGACCTGTGTTTTCCAGCAAAGCAGGTATAGGTGAGATGTTTGAGGAGTGTCACCAGGGTCCTGTCACTGGAATAGACTGTCACTCTGTCCAGGGAGCCATTGACTTCTCCCAGCTCTTCCTTACTTCCTCCTTTGACTGGACAGTGAAACTGTGGAGTGCAAGGGTAAGTGCATGTGATATTTGAAACAGTGCAAACAAGAGCTTTTTCCACGGAAATGCGGAGTTTTTTAAATTCAATTCTGATAATTCCTGAGGTTCTTCTAGATTCGTCATGATAAATGTTCATAGGTTTTTTTTTTTTTTTTTTTTTTGGTTTTTTTTTTTTTTTTTTAAAACCTAGATTCATGTCTGACAGTGGTATTGTTGACAATAAGACAGTTACATTAAAGGACTTGTTCGAATTTAGAAAATCTTTGATTTGTCCTAAAGTTTGTATTGTCTTAAATGAAGTTTTAGATTGGTCAGTAATGCTTTAAGTGCATAGTAATTTTTGATGTAACAGAATCATGATAAAATATATTTTCACTGTTCAAACTGTTTAAAACCAGTATTAAGTATATATTACTATTTATCATTATCAGGAACAAAAGCCCTTGTACTCGTTTGAAGACAATAGTGACTATGTGTATGACGTGGCCTGGTCTCCTATCCACCCTGCTCTCTTTGCCAGTGTGGACGGGATGGGAAGACTGGATCTCTGGAACCTCAATAATGATACAGAGGTCAGTAGGCAGTATATTTAATGTCTATTTATCAGTTAACACATGTCAGATTCAAAGGCTGTTTTTCACACAGGTCCTGCACACACGTTCTTGGAAGGATAAGTTGCATTCAGATAGAATGTTTGTCATAACTGTACCAGGTAACTCCTTCCTAAAAAGATGCAGTTTGTATCTGAGGAGATTTTTCATTTTACACCATTCCCAGCCAACATATTGTTGTAAACATACATCACACCCAAACAATTCATTTCTAGTAGTCACATGAAATTGTTATCCTTTAGGTTCCCACGGCAAGTGTTGTCACAGATCCAACCATAGCACTGAATAAATGTCGCTGGCACCAAAATGGGCACCAGATTGCAGTAGGTGACGACATGGGCAAGATCTATATATATGACATAGGGGAGGTAGGTGAAGAGAGTGCAGTGAGAAGTGCTTTTAAAATTGCTGGAAGTGGTTTTTATGGTGGTTTAGCCATTGTTGCAAAACATTTTAAAGAAGAGACCATCTTGGTTGCTTATTACAGTTTATTGTTTTATTAATTTAGTTATTGTAGTATTTTCTTCTGTTATTTCAGAACATTGCCAATCCCAAGATGGACGAGTGGTCTCGTATGGTGCACACGCTACAGGAGATGAAAGCCAATGCTGCTGACACTGAGGACGACCTGACGAGTCAGACTTCTTCACCCCTGCGATAGCACAGAGAACATTAAATTACTCAACCAAATGTGTATGAAAACTATATATTCCTGTTTGTATTGGATATACACTTTTCTTGGTAATATGAAAACACTTTATGGACCATTGGGCATATATTGTGAGAGTAAAAATGTGTTCAGACCACACAAAAGTTGTAAACCTACTCGAAATCTCATTGCCAAAAGAATTTTCAGGTTCTTCTCATGCTTGTGTAGAAGTAGGCTTAAGCTTGAGGTTAATATAAAATTATTGCAAATCTGAATGGTAAATATGTAAGTCAATTTAAGTATAATTATTCACTTTCTTCCAATAAGGGATTTTAAATTATTTGTTCTGAAAACATATGTACTGGAATGATTGAAGCAAACATAGGTGTTTTACTAGTGAGCACTAACATTGAATGAAGAAGAAAGTAACTTGGACACATAAAAGCAGGTAAACAAAGTCCCCAGTACATATGTTGTGTGTAGTGTCCTTCGAGCCAAGTAATGGCTGCCCAGTGTAAAATAGATCTTCCATAACAGGAAAAAAGAAGTTTAACTTTTAAGTCTTGGCATTTGCATTCATGGTCAAATACTAATTTTTCAAAGTTTTTCCTCTCAGTGAAATGAAAATAGTAAGAACTGGTGCTGTTCTTTCTTGTGAATGATTCAGCCTAAAAGCAAATTATTCAGTGAGACAGCTACTCTTTAGAACATATGGCAAAAACATTAGTTATGAGTAATTTCATTTACCTATCAATCCATAAGAATCAAGGTCAGTATGGTAGTAACTGCCTTAAATAGTTTGAAAATACAAAAACCAGTGAAGTTGTTTGTGCATTCCTGCAGTATATTTATTTAGCAATTTAAAATATAAAACTATTGCTGTTTATCATTTTAGCAGTGTATGCTGACAATTTAACTGTGGCAGAATTTAAGTCAGAAGTTAACACAAGCTTCACAAAAATGCGAACAAGCTTTGGTGCCTTGTAAAGATGGAAAGGACTCATGATAAAAAGTGGTAAACGTATTACCATAGCCTCTGGAAAATTTTAAAATATAAAATTGACATTCAGCTTATATTTTGTCAATGTAATGACTTCATACAGCAACTTGAGTGCTCAGACCGTGATGTTGGACAAAAAGAAGCTATTTCACACTGAATGTTATTGTGGTTTGCAGCAATGTCACCCATAGCTGAACAAAGATAATCTGGCCTATTGCTCACCTTAAGACAATGTTCTTATTTACTGACCTAATAAAAAGAACCACATCTGACAAAGTTGATAAATGGTTTTATTTTCATTATCCTCCAGATGACACATGAAGTTGATTGAGATAATTGTCTTAATCTATAGAATATTATGTTATGTGAAAGCCTGCTTTCATGATGTATTGTTTGCCCCATTGTTCTTGTGTATTTACAAACTTTGGCATTAGTCGCAAAATAAAAATGCACCTTTTCTCATAGCAAATATAATACTTTAATTTGAGATTTAAGAGGCACTTTGAATTCTTGAAGTGTCAAATTATTATTTTAGGAATGATGCAAGTACATAACAAGATGCTGATTTTATCACTAATAAAAAAATCTTGATATTGTTTTAATTGAATAAACATACTAGAAGAGCAATATCATGGAAAAAAATTATCTTTACTTTTTTTAAATAAGAAACTGTACCCTTCAAGTAAATATTTTTGAGTATTTTGGCACTTGAAAATTCTGGTTAATATATCTGAATAAAAATAACACCACTACATGTCATCTATAATTCTTAAAAAATCGGGGAAAATATACAAAATTCATTATTAAAAATCCAGCAGGATGTTTTCATGTAGTGGACCCATAACTCATTGGGATAACTAATTAAAGTGAGGCAACAATACTGCAATACAGTAATGTCTAAGCCCTAACTTTGGGTCTATATAAATTGCGGAAATGGCTTCATATAATTTTTTGCACATTATATTGAAGAAACTAAATTAAAATAAAGATTATTTCTAAAAATGGCACAAAGTATGTGCACATTGGGGTCATCATTTATTGTTCAATGCTCTTTGATGGCATGTACTAAATTCAACTATAACAGCACAATCAGTTCAACTATATAATCTCCCTTTCCAATACTTCCCTGCATCGGGTCAATCTGATAAAGACAGAAAAGAAAAGATAAACACAGCAAACTACAGGGCACTGGTGATCAATTGTTAGTCAAAACTAAAATCTACTTTTGGATGTACTTGAAATCTACATAAATGACAATGTTTTTGTTCATTAGATTAAAACTAAATTTACCAGACAAAATGTTTTCATTGTGTCACAAAAACAGTAGTCTGTACCAAATAAGGCTTTCATTGATTGTCTTTGCACCTTTAAATGTAACAATAAAAATATTTTGTAAAAAAAAAAGTTTAATACAATATAACAAAGTTTAACATTCACACTGTTCAAGATTGCATTTTCTGTGCAATTGTCATAAAATTGAGCAATGCCAATAAAATGATTTTACCCATAACTTGCATACAGAAACTAAACACTGCAATACACCTTTTATCTTGCTCTAACTTATTTTGTTTAAAGCAAGAAGCAAAAATAACACCCAAATCATAATAAAATAAAAAATTTAATTAAATAAATAACCCAAAATAAAATATATTGCCCATGAACAACAAAATATTTTGCTATGATACATATAGCTAGGCCCTTTTCACACATACTTATCTTTATTGCAACTTTCAGAGATTGATAACTTAATTGCCTGTTGTGAGTAATTTTGATTGGCCTTAACAGTTGGAAGCAAACTTTGAGAATTGGAGCAAACCACCCTGTATAGATTATTTCATGTAGGGACCAGTCAAAACATTGCAATACAGGTAAGTGTTTCACTTGATGTAAAAAGGACCTCAGACCTAAGTCACTGCTGATTATATCATGCTAGTACAATCAAAAGGTTTATTCTTTTCAGCAACTAATCCTATCTATCTTATGAATCTCATTAGCATCCACACTCTGTGACAATTTTTCTGTTTCACTCTCTGGCCAATCGAAGAATTGCCCTTCAGATAATAAGTTAATAAGCTGCATTCCATATATCTTGGCAGAATCCTGCACCAAATTGCCTCTGGTTTTATATCAAACACAATGAAATATAAACAGTTTGGTATTATCAAATACCACAATTAAGTCTCGGGGTTTCCAATGCTCAAAAGAGAGGACCTCTGCTGTACAAAGTCACACCGTTTAAATTCCCTTCATATTTAGTATCAACATTCAGAATTTGGAGCACTTCCACTGTAAAGATTCGCATTTCCATGGTGACCATTCGAGACTTTGGACTCCTCTTGAAAAACAGGGTTTTCTGTTCCCTCTGAACTGCTGCCATGGTTACCATTCTGTTTTAGGCTGGTAAGAATCCCATTGTCATGACTACTGGTTGCTAAGTCACCATTTATTCTTACACGATCATTATCTTTCTCATATGCAGCATTGTCAAATGAAGTGAAGGGAATGTTCAGTTTAGCATTGCGACAGACGACAAAGAAAACAACAGCACCTATTACTGCTACCACCACTACTGCTGCCAAGGTAAGTCCAATAATAAGAGGAAGTGAGGAGGATGATGTACCTTTAAAAAGAAAATTGAAAAATAAATTGTTATAGAAATTATTATCAGTACAAAATCTAGACTCAAATATACTCGGTATTATAGCATCTCACATAAATTACTTTGTGTGATATGTTATGATCTCAGCTAATAGTACCTTGATCCTGTGTCTGCGAGTCTGTCTGCGGTTTAATGCTGATCCCATTGGGTCTGGCTGGTGACTTGGTAGTCCTTGGTTTAGCTGTTACTGATGCTGAAGTACTGACTGTAGATGGCGCTGTTGGTGTTGAAGGTGAAGAAGTGGAGCTTGGAACTATAAATGGTGTTGTTGCAGACACTGGAAAATGTTTACACAATGTTTTGAACAAGAAAACCTTTGAAGAAAGTTATTACATTATAAAGATCTATTAGCATTCATACCATGACTTCAAAAATACATGTATATAAAAGGTATCCTACATAGTCAAAATGGTATTAAAATGTTATAAAAAAACACTTAACTAGAGAACAAAATTATACAGCAATCGGCAAACAAGTTGGACATGTATCTTTAATAATAACATTTTAAGTTGATAGTATAATCAGTTTCTGGAGGATATAATTAACAAGATTTACAAATTCATTACTTTTCAGTCGTTTGCATATGAATCCTAAGTTGCGCTTGGTACCACAGGTGACATCATTCCATTGGCCTGAGGAGGAGGACATGGCGCCACACTCCTCTGCCCCGCGGTACGTCCTATTTGAGGGCTGTCCTGGCATCCAGTTCTGGTAGTTAAACGGAGTGCCATCGTACCACCCAAACCCAGCTGAAATGTCAAATATCACTGCGGCTGTTATCACGTATTGGTGTCTTTTTTTCAACACAAAGATGTTTAAAGCCACCTTAGGCATCGCCTTTCACACTTTTACATTCTGATGAGAGAATGAAATCCCCCTCCCCCTTCATGCACCCCTGCTGCAGACCATAACATTCTTATTATATTTACTCACAATTCTCCTTCTTTATCAACCCAATCCACATCATAGCTGACATTCCTTGATTCATGGTGCTAATTGTATCCAGAATAAAGTTGGTCTCTGCCTGGCTGGTTATTGACGCCAGCTGTCCTCCTTTCTTGTAGCATAACACACTTGCTTCAGCCCAGTTTTGGTAGTTCACCCCCTTGATGTAGTAGCAGTATCTCCCCTTGGGGAACCACGTGTCGTCCGGGCAGTAGCCGGCCTCCTCTGGAGGGGTTGGACTAGGGGTCACTGAAAATAAAATCTCGCATTTAAGTTTGTTGAAAAAAAAATTATTTTAATATTTTTAAAATGCATCAGTTTTTTTTTTAATTATTCACATCCACAAAGGGACCACAGCATTTGTTATAGCCTAAGTGCACATAGTCACTATATATGGACTCTCTCTCTCTCACACACGCATATTCACACACATGCATACATATACTTGAACAAATACACACAAATCCACACACACACACACACATGAACCCACACACATACACATACCTGTAGTGTACTTGCACAAAGTGATCAGTTTAGTATTACAGTCTGTGGTCACCCACTGTCCAGTGCTGTTCATGGACACACAGCGCCGGCCTGGGTCATCTAACTGGACATTACTGGCCCAGTTGACAAATACCAGTGACCAGGGGGAGTCCTTCCACTGGAAGATTTTCTAAAGAGAAAATTAAACAAAAAATTGAATGTATTTTTGCTTGATCCATAGATCAATATATATCAAATGAATTATGGAAAGATTAATTAATTCTGAATCAGTAAGAGCAGGGCGCATAACTTCAAAAATGGCAATTTTTTTTATTTAAGATTAAGGGTGCATTCCCAGAGATTTAGATTGATCCAGAGATTAAGATTTAGATTGACCTAACTCCCTGGGGGTTCATGCAAAATTGCAGTCAGCCGAGCGCGCACCATAGTTAATTACCCCCTTACAGATTTCAGTAGGCGGGACAGACGCTTAAGCCTGCTAAGCTGACAGTAATCTAGTGAGATTCCCCACAGGGATAGATCAAAATAAAATCTATGGGAATGGGGTCTAAGTGACATTAATAAATTCAATTCTAAAATCTCAAGTAATATTTAGGACCAAGAGTTTTCTGTCTTTTCTCTATAATATAGTTTTTAGCACATACATGAAGGCTACCAAAACAATTCTCATATATTTTCTGAATCAATCATACAGGACAGGTGGATATTTCTTGTTTGGTATCATTATCATCATGATCCTTAAAATAAAAATGGATTACACTTACATAAGTAGTATCATAATAAAGTCCTAGCCACACAGGGGAGCCGAGGTCATTGGCCAGTAAATTCAGGTACGCCTGTTCAAAGTTGTTGGTCACCACAGCCGCCGTCGCACCATCATTTCTACAATACTGCACACCCTGTACCGGAATTAGAAAAGCAAAAAATTTAAGATCTAGTTCCATCTCTAAAGGGATTAACTTTCCACATTATAGTTCCACTTTTACAGACAAATTATTAAAAAGAAAATTATGACAACACCATAGGTCAATTAAGGTGTAGGTAATTCAAAATTACATCACAATATTGGGTTGGAGGCTCTTTATTCATATGCTCTCAGTAAAACATAAAGGTCTTTGATCTAATTCTTTGGCCTTGACAACTAACGCGTTATAGGTATCATGCTATGGGAACCATCATTACAGTAATTATATAATATAATACAACAATTATAATGAAAGTAATATTTTGTGTGTTTACACAAGGTAAAAACTGAACCGTATGTACCTGGTCCCAAGTTCTGGTGGTCAAGGTGTCCACTTTATAACAGGCATCCAGGTACCTGGTGTAACCTGGTTTTCCGTCACAGAGGGTGCTGGGGGAAGTGTTGGGGCGCCACGTGGTGCCAATAGAGAGATCTGGAGGGTGCAAGGGCACATTGTGTAAATTAAGACTGCTATTAAGTTCTACAGATATCTATATAATAAATATAATAAATGTACTGTTAATATGTTTTATATATTTTAGTAAAATACGGAATAAGAACAAAGGATAATTCATGAGTTCAAAATGTTCTACTCCTTTTATATTTCAGCTATATTACAGATATCATTTTTTATGGCAAATTAACAAAATAATGTAACCATTCTTGTTTGCATAAATAAGTTTTCAGATTTCATTCTTATGAAATAAGTTCTATCAAAGCAGAGCATTTGGCAAAAAAGTCAAAAGCAAAACTACAAGTACATATGCTGTCACATACAGTGACACAAGGTCTTTGCAAATTGAGTATTATATCTTTTAGTAAGTGTTCCATCTGTATATATGTTTTGAGAGGTTCTACAGAGTAATTATTTGGGAGACTTCACCTCCTTTCACATGACATGTTCGGTTCCGCTCTGAAGTCCGAACCAAATTAACTGGCCATGTCCATTGCGCCATTGACTATATTACTTAATAGCTGCATGGGCTATTATATTAAGCTATCAACCTCTCAAAAAATACCAAATAATACAGATGGAAAGATGAAGTAATTTTGCCTGGTGTCAAAAGGCCTAAAACTGATACACTTGCATAGTTACATGAAGTATGCACATTGACATTTAAGGCAGCAACACATAGCAATGGTCTATAGAATATATTCAACATGCTGCATGTCCAACAAAAACAACTAATTACAAGCTGAGATTATATAGTTGCTATTTAAGAAAACAAGCTAAACCAAGCTTCACCTGACACCAAACAGATGATTGAAAGCCAGATAAAAAAAAGACAACCATACAATTGCAATAAGAGTGAAAAAGACTGAAAAATAAAAGGCAATTTCCACATAATACACAAATCCATAGCCCTTTCCTGGATGTTTAAAAAAGAATTTTAGCCTGACACACAATAGGCAAGAAAACTAATAAGTTACATCAAGTTTTTAGTTCTAATTCTATCCCCCATACCACTTAGTATCTACAGAAAAAAGGATTCAGCTCTAGTCTAAAAAATACCCTCCACCTTATGCTACTGAAGTTAGTGCAGCTGTTATCCATCAGCTTTTAACCTCTAGCACACAGAATGAGATGATAAATATAACAGACAGATAGATATGATAGATATCAGCAGCATATGACCCATAGATGATACCTACTTGGTTGCACTGTGAATCCTGTTATACAAAACAATATACTGTCAGTTAAATTGTACTTAGCCATCACATTCAAGCAACATTTGAATGACACTGAAAAAATCCCTGTGACTAACTTTGCTACGAATTTTAATAACTTTCAAAATACATAATTATTTAAAACTTAAACATTTTGTGATTATCATTATTCAATGAAAAAAAAGAAATTGTCACAGTTACAAAAAGTATGGGTTATAATTATTGTAATTGGCTGTAAAATTTAAGGAAGAAATGTGAGTGAGAACCTACTACATCTCTCAAATCTGTTTTGTGATAACTTCTACGCCTGACATGACCTTTTTTACTTTGAAGTCCCTTTGGGGATTTAGAAGTATGTTGGTTAGCCTGTTCGTTTGTTAACTGTACTTTTTTTCAAAGAATAATTCTTATAAATTAAATATCATTATAATGTCTTGGATGACTCTGTCCATACGGTCACTCTTACCTTTCCAAGTTTGGCACACAAAACCTGTATCAAAAGAGCAGGAACGGGACTGCCATTTCCCTGCAGTTCTTGTGCTTGTCTTCATCAAAACACAATCCTCCTGAAATGTATCAATTTGTATCAAAAATGTATCACTATGTATCAATATCTATAAAAAAGTATCAATATTTATCAAAAAATGAATCAATCTATCAAAAATCTATCAATATGTATCAAAAATGTATCAATATACTTTGTAATATGGAGTGAACATTAATAACATACCACTGTGGGCACAGAGGATTTTTTTTTTTTTTTTCAAAAATGAATTTAATAAGAAAACATTTGTGTGACAACGAAAGGATGTGGAATCTACATCAAAAATAGATTTCAGAAGTTTCTTTATAGAGAGGCTATCTTGAATTATATAACCAAAGCACACTGCAACATTTTAAAGAAAAAAGTAAAACTGTTGATGAACAAATACAAAACCAAAGAAAACCATTATGTAAAACCACCACCAGCTTACAAAAGCCATTCAGCAAATAAATAAAAGTCCCATAACCATTATTAACTTTTTACTGCAATAACAACAGTTAGCAATGCCACATTTTCTTAACTGATACACTACTAAAAATGTATGAGCATCTGAACCCTGACCCACATCAAATTAAAAAGGTTAGAACTTCTGATCTACCATCACCAATATTACTTCAAATTTAAAGCACTCCACTGCAATTATTTCTGGCACAGCACCCATCATTTGCAGGCAGGCATATAATTGCAACTTTAGCCTGTTTAAGATCCAACAAAAATTTTTCTATTAGTAATCACTGTTATTTTCATAACAGAAATAATCATTTTTCTACAAGATATCTCTATTGCTTATAAATATGTCTAATCCACAGTCAAACATTAGGGGTAACCCCCAAGTAACATGTTACCTACTTTTGTAGCAGCCGCACTAAAACTGTCATCCTGGTTGAAAAAATAGGAAATATTATCATCGCTAACACACACATTAGTATTACTATTCCATTGCCTTTGCTGATATGTCACCCTACAACCCCTCTACCTATATATATATATATATTAAAATCTCCTGCATACACACATGGAAGAAAGTTGTAAAAAAATGAAAATCCTGAAAACAGCTTGCAAATTCTTAACGCACTTAGACTATATGAAAAAAATTGCTCAAAATGAAGACTGAAAATTCTGAAATCACAGGCATAATCCTGAAAACTGTCACCCATGTACACAGGTATGAAAACATGCACGTACACTCATGCAGAAGCACACAGACAAACAAACAGATGCAGATATGTAATATGCTTCAGGCCAGTGGTGGATTTAGAAGAGGAGGGGGGGGGTCATAAACAAAATACAATATTTAATGAAATCAAACTGTACATAATAAACTACATACATCTCCATAGCTTCCAGCATTACTGTGGGGTTCTCCTCTGTCCCAGTTGGTGTAGCTGAAGGGTTGGTTGTCCACCCAGTGGTATGTGCCCTCTCGTGTTTTATCGTTAAGACCGATCCACATCTCGTAGGTTTTATCCTTCAGCATAATAGTTATGAAGCCTGAAAGTATTCAAAATTAGTGTTGTGTTATTGTAAAGATTTTGTTCCAAAATAAAAGATGATATTTTCAGCTGCGTTGCTATATAGAAGTAGATACAAATTTACTGTGGTGTAAATTGGTCATGCTTATATTGACATTTTTATCTGTTTGCAATTTTCTTTCAGTGCCCCCACAAATGAAGAGAAAAAGCTGTTTGAAATCTTTTTAGTCCTTTATCTTAAAATAATGCAACTGTCAAATATTCACATTTTTTTTCATAAAATAATCATTATTCTGAGTACCATTTCTATTATAAAAAAACAATAATGCAGTTTTATCAGAGACACTCAATCTTTGAAATAAAACATTACGAATAACTTTTACTTAAGTTTGAGTCATAATTTTTTTCTTCCATACTCTTCACAAAAGTTAAGGAAACTTGATAACACATATCATAACATAATGTCAAAAGTTAAATAAATGTTTTCTTCAAGGCAACTTACTTTGTTCCAGTTCATTAGTAATAGTAGCTAGAGAAAAGGATTTCCCCAAAGCAGCACAATAATCCCTGGCCATGGTCCAATTCTTTAACTGCAGGACTGAATCTCCATAGAAACCATAACACTTGTTGCCTAGATACACAACATAAATATAGTATTTATTGCCGTGATAGCAATAATATAATGCAATTATTATAGCACGTTGTCACCATGGAAAAGGTAAGTTTTTGCCAAATAGAAAATTATCTACTTAATATTTTGAATAAATGGCGACATCAAACAAAATACATTCCTAAAGATGTTTTCATGGTACCATGGGCTTTGTTTGGTTTTAGAGGTGATTTTTGGTGAAATGCAAATACATTCTCTCAGTATGTATATCAAATTATACACTGCCACCTGTTTGCGTAATATGCATTCAACAACTGTTACTGCCAGTCTCAATGTTCTGGCACATATCCCTCAGGTGACATATAACATCCAGCACAGTTATATATATATATATATATATATATATATATATATATATATATATATATATATATATATACACACACACACACAGTGGGGGGCAGCGTTCTTCTTACCTATGGCATAGTAGCCTCTTGGGCAGTTTCCTGGCAGGGCAGGGGTGGGCTGGGTGGTCACAGGTGTTCTGCTGTCCTTGTGTCTTTTACATATGAACCCATTTTTGTCTCCACAATTGTCATCATTCCACGTGCCTTAAGTTGAAATATTAAAATCAGAGATAATTGAGTGTATTCATATTAAATCTTATGACCCAATGCTGACAACATGGTTATTGCAAGTAATATTTCATGCCAAGAGGAATTTAACAAGGCAGCAAAGCTTTCAAATGTACAGACAAAAAACAGGAAATAACTATGCACAAAATAGGCTACTGTCAATTCTGATGCAAAAGTACATTATGTTGAACTGCAAATTCAACATTAAATTTTAATTATGCTCAACAGGTAATACCAATGTAAGTAAAATGTGTAACAAGCATAAGGCTTCAGGCCCATGGGAGTTCAAGTTCACACTTTGAAAATGTATAACTTCCAGAAAAAGAAGCCAATTAGACTACTTTTCCAACTCAGGCTGCATTTTAGCCCTGTATTTCTTTTTTGAAAGTTTGGCAATCATAAATAACATGGTTTTCCCATAATGGTCATCATGGCAGCAGCACCCAAAATTGTGTTTTCTTCTATTCTGATGCAATATTACATAATGGTTAACAGCATAAAGACCGTCAACTTTTGAAAATAAAATAAACGTATCATGGATTTTCAGAAAATGTGACTAGCACAGGTCTTCAAGCATATCTTGTGAAAAATTAAATTTTCACAAAAAAAANAATGTGAGGAAATGTGAAAAAACAGCATAACTTCTAAAATAATGGCCCGATTATGCTGATTTTCGAACTAAACCTGTGTTTTAGCAGCAATGACCCAATGCTGACAACATGGTTATTGCAAGTAATATTTCATGCCAAGAGGAATTTAAAAAGTGCGTGAGATTTGTTATCTTACTAAGGATCTAGCTAGTACTTCAGTAAATAAGAGAAATTTCAATTTCAGTTTATCATAGTATTTCATCTGGAACATAAAGTGAATAGATTTTTCACATTTGGAACTCGACATCAAGAACCAATCCCTATGCATTTAGAATAGATATACTTTGGAAAAAACAATGACAGACAATAAAATGGCATATACAGGTCTGAAGTGATTTTGGTTTGAGGTCACCTTCATTTTATCAATACTAACTGGAGCTTTTCATTAATCAAAAATAGAACACAAGACAAGATGGTCATCAACTAAAATATGTAAAAGCATTGTGTCTCTCACACACACAAACACACACATACAAAATAAATAAATCAATAAATAAATAAATAAATCTATTTCCCCACCTGACCCTGTGTATATGTCTACACATCTTTGCCCTCCATTCCAGTCATTGGGCTCATTCTTGTTCCAGTTGTCATAGTCTGCTGGGGTGCCATCTGACCAACTGGAAGATATATATATAATTATGGATTTTAATGAAAATGAAGATAATGAATCCATATCTAAACAATGAATGAATGAATGAATGAATGAATGAATGAATGAATGAAAAAATTAAAAAATTGATAATAAATCATACAAACAGACTGAGAAACATGAATAAGATATTAATCATTTAATCAATTATTTACTCAATTTGAATATCACTCAAACTGAAAAAAAAAGTTACCATATAATTATATTTAATAAATTTCATTAGTAGATATGTAAGTCTTAGAGTATATGATGAAATGACGAAGTGATTCGGTAAATATGTTCCATCTTACTAGCATCTTAATTTTGTTTAATATGCAATATTTGCAATAAATTTTGTACTTACGTATAACTTATGAGGTTTAGCTCATTCAATCCAATCCACAAAGCAGTGTTACGTGTATACACCTTGCTCATCTGTAAATTCACGAACAACCACAGTTTGTAGCAATTCAGACAAGATGACTTAAACTATCATCCTGTTTTTTTTTCTTTATTCATTATTTTTAGATGAATCTAATTAATTGATCCAAGTCAAGATATTTAAATTTTGTTTTTACGACTTTGGGAAACAGGCTTAAGGATGCCTTATATTCAACTCTTAAGGATACCTGTGAAGTAATAAACCCATTTTCTGTGCGTCCGTGGATGCTGGCCAAATCTCCGCCACTTTGTCTGCACCAATCACGTGCATCATACCAATTCTTTTTGACACTACTGGGTGAAACGTAGAAGCAGTTGTCTCCATAGCCCAGCCAGGCAGTGTCCCCACAGTCAGTGGCTGGAAAGATGAGGGATCAAAGCAATCAATGGCAATTACATTAAATTCCACTACCAATGAACTGTTTTCATGAAGAAGATAATGTTGGCTTTGGATATAGTCATCCATTCTCCATTTTGATTGTGACATGCCTGTTGATGCAGGATTTTTGACCCTAAGTTATTTCTCTATCCACCAGGTGAGTTGCGCCTCATTTCAGAACTTGCCCTAGTGTGTATCTTATTAATTAATTAATTCATTTATTTATTCTTCAGATTTAGGACACTTGTCCCAGTAGTTGATGGTTCATCGTTTTCAAAACATATTCTTGCAAAAATGAATTACAAGTACAAAAAAATTGTTATATATAAATGTAAAAAGATAAGAATAAAAATAAGAATATGAAGTCAAGCAAAATATACAAAATACATTTGACTTACGTGTCACTGGTATGGGAGTGGTGGGAGTGACTGGCGGTCGCGTGCCTGGAAGTTAAAAATAGTTTTAATTTCATATTCAATCCTAAACCAAACAAGATTAGTGAAAACAAAACACCATTCACCTTTTAATATTCATTCTGAAGATACAAAAACCAGCAAATTTAGAACAGGAAAAAATATGTTTGACTGCACCCACCCTGCATATGGTCTTTTTAATTTCCTACGGAAGAAATGAAGACTTGAAATTTGGAAAGGATCCAAAAAGGTTTCTGAACAGTTTTTATCCGTCTGCTGTTTCTCATTTTAACAGCATAAAATAAAATTTCAGTAACCATACTGTTGCCTTGAAACTTTTTACATTTTACCTGAATAGCAATCCAATTTCCAGTATTCGTGAATTTTTAATTTGTAAATTAAACTTTTATCTTATCATAATAATACCATACCTTCTACTCTGTATTTAAAAGATAAAGACTTCAACTTAATTTTATTCTTTTTCATTCAACAATAAGATAAACTCTCACCTTTCCTCATCTTGCAGAAGTAGTTTCGTGCCAGGTTACAGTTAGAATCTTTCCACTTCTCTGTCCTCCCCACGATCAGCTCTACACAGTTTTCCTGTCCGTTGTGGTTGTTGGGTTCCCCAGTGGCCCAGTTTGTATAGTCAACGCCTGTGCCATCGCTCCACACATGACCTGGGCAGAAAATTTTATATTTTCCTATCTTCAATATCATATTTTATCTTATTTTTCTTCTCTTTTTTTGGTCAATGATTTCATAAGACAGCAAAGCTGACAAATATACAGACCTCAAACAGGAAATATATGTTGGTTTAATACATGCAAAAAAAAATCAATTAAATACATTATTTATTTGTTCCCAATTAAATACATAAAATATTTTTTCCTGCTGATTTATGAACTCAACCTTTATTTTTAACAAATGAATTTAAGCTCCCTAGTAAAATATAATCTAGTTTTCTGATGACAGACATTTTGTGAAATCTACCCTAGTGAACTAAATCTCATTGAATTATGACTTAACCTCCAAAACTGACTTAAGAATTTTTGTGAAACAAAATGGGTTAGTACACTAAAAAGTGTCAAATCCATACTGTTTCAGTTCACTAACCTGTTGAAGTATCTCTGTTGTTCAATCCTATCCAAAAGTTTCCATACATGTAAAAATACCTGAAAGAAAGTCCAAGTTCATTTACTATATTTAACTAAATGACTGGACAGTTATTCAGAAGGCCATATGTCTTCTTGTACATTTCTGAAGGAACTATAGACATCAAGTGCTTTTATTTTAGGGGTCTTATAGTTCTTAAGGATTACTTTGGGAAAGGTTACTAATAGAACATCAACTATGGGAAATGTTATTTTAAATAAAATTAAAATGGAACATCAATGAATATAATATGCAAAAATTCCATGTCATTGTATCATGTTGGACTTCCATGCAGCATTAGTCTACAAGTTAGACAGCATGCCCAAACTACCTGGAAACAATAAGCAGTCATTAAACTGATAATAATAGAGTTGTGGTATTTGGTATGATTAAGCCAGAGATTAAGCTCCTCAGCCCCTGAATGGTGGTGATCACTCCATCTCAGGGGCTGTATGAGCCACATAGTTAAAAGATTTTGTATTTATGCACATTCTCAATCCATGTGTACAAGTATTGGCTCATGCAGTTATGCATGCAAATGAGCATGCAGTACATGCATTTTCAATACCTGAAACTGATTGGATGGAAAAAGTGGAACCGGTGGTGCCTCATATCCCGTGGACTGAAATACATATCACAGAAATATATATATATATATATATATATATATATATATATATATATACCGACTGCCAAGTCAATGTTTCATTTTCAATTTATATCTTTGTGGTGCAGGTTACATCTGTGACCCAATTATATTGTAACATTATATATATATACCATTTTTCATTAGGTAATTGCAGGGGATTTCAACATTTACATGGATAAAAATAAATGTTAAGTGGCCCAGCAAAATTTATTATCTGTTATCCAAGAAGGGACATATATTAAAAGTATGTTGGCAATTTTACACACTAAAAGACATGTTTTAAATCTTTTTGATTACTTTAACTTTTAAAATTCCCCCTGATCATGCCCATGTAAGCCACCCAGGATCAGTTCGTGTAGTGAAACAACAGTTTATTTTTTCTTCTGCTAGCAACAATAATTGTATTACTGTATATCCAGTTCATCTTGTAAGCCTTAAAAGGTCGCGTACCTGTTTGGTACACAGGTACATGGGTAAAAATAAATCAGTCATTCATTCATTCATTTATTCATTTTAATGAATACATGTACATGTACAGTACTAGAACTTACCCAGGAAATGTCCGAGATGACTTCACAAATGTCTCCTCATCCTGACTGTGTATACTCAGCAGGTCTCCGCCATATGATCTACAATCTGCACGCGCCTCTAGCCAAGTTTTTAAGTCTTTTGCATTTCTGTTATAAACAGCCTGAAAAATTCAGCAATTAATAAAGTGCCACGTTTAATGGTGTTGGCAAATTTTCTATTTTAGGTTTAAAAAATCTGGATGCATTTTGGTTTTGTGCCTTGGAAGTAAAAAAAGACCTCCATATACTTCTCCACATAAAATGGCACAACAATGAGGCAAATTTTGACAGCACATGTCATTATAATACTGTTTTTGCCCAATTTGCAACAGCTTGCCAGTTATGTCAGGTGAAAAAAATTAGAACCTTTCATGAGAGCATTAAATGAAACATCAAATCTTTCATTAGATTTTTCAATAAACATTAATATACGTAACTCATACCACACCTTCCCTAACAACTGGCAAAATAGGGGAGGGAGCATGTTGAAAATACACTATGATGACAAAAAAATGACCATAAACTACTTCCAATACCTTATAACAATATCCATTTCTTTCAACCCAATCAGCTGGGCAAGTCACAGGGACTGGTGTTGTGGTGGTAGTAGGCGCTGGGGTTGTTCCACCACCAATGGTGTAGTTCCTCTTATATTCACAGATGAAAGTTCTAGAGGTGCCGCAATCTCTGTCCTTCCACTTGGCACTGGGCTTGTCTATTGTGACGCACCTGTTGACTCCATTTCCTATATACGAGTGTCATTAATGAAAAATTTACTTTTCTGATTTGATGATAATAAATATAAATTCAAAAATATTTTTTCTTCCCAATATCAAATTCACAAAGGAATGGCACAAAAAACAGACATTTCATAAGAAATTTAGAAAATCACTATTCTCACTAAATCTTTTCTTTTTTCAGAACACAAATTTGCTCAGTTTTTCATATGCAATACATATCACAGAAAAAGAGGTAAAAATGGATTTTGTTTTCCAAGTTTATTTATTTATTTTTCTTTTATTAATTTTTTTTTCTTTGCAAAACCGAACACTTTTCTTTACAGTCTGTAGCCAACCTGTCAATAACTAATGTTCAAGATTGCAACCTGGCTTACTGCTGTCCCAGTTTGAAGCCTATCTGAATGACTGCTATATGCCAGTTTGTAGCCTATCTGAATGACTGTTATCCCAATCTCAATTTGTAGCCTACCTGACTGCTGCCCCAGTTTCTAGCTTACCTGAATGACTGTTATCCTAGTTTGTAGCTTACCTGAATGACTGCTGTCCCAGTTGGTATACCATGCACTGGAGTTCTCACTCCACCTGTAGATACCTGTTGGGTTACTTAGTCCAATCCAGTAACTGTCACTGGGTTGTTGTTTTAACTTGGTGAGGAAGTATGCTTGAACTAAGCTAGAATAATATAAAAATTCATATTACAAGAATAAAAATTTCAATTCACAGAACAGAAATGAAAATAAAAAATGATGAAAACCGCAATGTTCAAGGGGTTATCAACCTTATCAAGGGGCTGAATTCCAAAACTTCAAAAACATTAAGTGGGTACTAGTAGGCAAATCTTGCAATTATGTCTTTTTCATATGTGAAGACATTCAAAAAGTACAATCTTATTACTAAGTGCAGCTACATATCATATGCCCTCTGATGCACACTAAACTAAGGGCATTCAGTAGCTCGATAAGCATCTGGGCCATATTATATGGGAACATTTGGCACCATGGAAAAGTTAACATGATATTGTGTATAGTAAAAGAGACAAAATCTCAGGATTACAATCTACTCAGCATATCTTTGAATTAGGAGTTTAACCTCCTTCTTATGCTGCAGATAAAGTGTCTGTATCTTAAAAGTTAATTGATTTATAAAAAATAACTTAAATTATTCACTTTGATTATTTGCACTTGCAACCTAGTCAAAATAAAAGGGGAAAATACTACTAAATTTAAAAGTAACAGTACGAGTATGTGGAATCTTACAAATTTTTCAAAGCTGCCAGATGTCCTCCTCCTCTCTGACAGTACCTCTCTGCATCTGCCCATGTGGCCCCCATACTAACAAAACTGTAGCAAGAGGAGCCCAATGCTGCAGTGGTGCCCTGAAAAACCATTATAAAAATGTGTTAGTATGTTTACAAAACCATCATGATATGACTCCAACTGCCTGGATTTTGTTATGGTAAAAATAAAAATAATAATAATAATAATAATTCTGAATAAATAATCAATTGACTTACACTGGGACATCCAGTAGGATACAGTGGTAACATGGTGACAGAACTGGACACTGGCACAACCTTTAGCGATGTCTGACAGATGTACATGTGGAAACTGTCACAAGAATCATCATTCCACGCTCCTTTCTATAAAGAATGAATAAAAATTTAATGATACAGTACTTATAATTGATGCAATATTGTATAATTCATAGTGACTGAAAACATACATGAACCAAAAAACACAAAAATTACCTACAAACAGATTTACTATGTGGCAAGCATAAAAAACTGATAGACTGACAAAAATCAGAATTGGAGAAGAAAAAAGAGACAGAAATAGTAGAGGCAGACAAATGGATGGATAAAAGGAGGAACATGGAGACAGACAATCAGACAGACAGACAGGCAAGGAGAGAGAGAGAGAGAGAGAGAGAGAGAGAGAGAGAGAGAGAGAGAGAGAGAGAGAGAGAGAGAGACAACATGCACTGTGTCAAATTTGCACCTACCAAGTCTGCATTCATAGTAACACAATCCTCTTTGACACCCACATTGTTATTTGGTTCCCCTTTGTTCCAATTAGTGTAGGTCACTTCTCTTCCATCTGTCCACTCAAAGGTCATTGGTCTCTTGAGGTCATTCAGACCCAGCCAATAGATGCGATTGGTCACTGGAACCAGGTTAAGATCTTATTCTCGTAATTTGAATTCAACAGCAGACATATCTTTTTCCATTATTGATATTAATACTTTAATATATCAACTAAGTTTGAAACATCCCCTCCTACGAAAAGAAAAAGAAAAAACATTTGTTTTTAAGTTCAAATTAGATTCTTATCACTTGAAAAAAAATATGAATTATTTTAATAATCAAAACATACACCAAAGAAGACAAAATGTAAAACAATATGTTCTTACAGCTTGCGTTAGCTTTTGACTGAGTGGTCAAGAAGGCCTGGTCTCTCTCATTCATAACAGAGGCCAAGTCTCCACCTTTCAAACGGCACTGTGTCCTGGCATCCATCCAAGTAGTTTCTTCAGATACCAAGAGAAAGCAGCCATCGCCAAATTTCTTCCAGCCAGGCCAACAGCCATATCCTTTGCCTATTAAATAGCAACACAAAGATTAAAGTTGTGTTGTATATTAAAATTGGTTTTTACACTGAATTGGAAGCAATCAATCAATTTGCTAAAAGTACTTTTAATAAACAGAAAAAGAAACAGTATTTTTTCAATAAGTTATGACATATCTTTAAATACAAGCAAACTTAATAAAATATATTGTTAAATAAAATAAAATAATTTGTATTGAAACAAAAAAAACTTCAAAGTGTTTCCATTTCAATGACTACCAAAGCACTAAAAAATTCACTATGAAAATTCTTACATTGTGATAAACAGTACTAAGAATTATAAATAAATAAATAAATAAATAAATAAATAAATAAATAAATAAATACCAGCTGGTAAAGGAGTGGTGGAAGGAGTTCTGGCATTAGTGGTGGAAACAAGACCTACATTAAAAAATAAAACTTATAAAATATTAACATTTAAATTTTTAAACAAACAACTAACTTCAGTCAAACTTTTCTTTCTGCGTAAAGCTTTAATTGACATGTCAAAGAAGAAAGTTCCATAAATGTCTAAAAAAAGATCCTATAGCAATTGGTCGTAACAAATGTTGACAGACCAAAAAGGCAGACAAATTCAAAGTGGCAACTATTCAAGAAGCATCCTTTTCTCCTATTATATATATAATAATCACATCTAACAATTATAGAACAGAATGGTTTCAAAATAGAGTAAAAGGGGAGAAAAAACCAAGATGATAATTTTAAAATAATGTTGTTTAATTTTTTATATAATACAATTAAGAACTGTATTACTTTAATCTTACTATACAATCCAACTATTTTGTGCTGCAACTAAACATACATTTTATTATGAAATACTTACCTTTTTTCTTACAGATATATCCAATCCTTATATCACAGGTAATATCATTCCACAATCCAGGACCAAATTCACTAGTAATCTGCATACAATCTTCTGACCATCTGCTGTTTGGCTCACCTAAACAGTGTCATGGTAGAATCACAAATTGTTTCATTTTCAAAATGGCAACCAAATGCAAAATGTCTACTGCATACTTGTTTAAATAAACTGATTTAACACTGAATAGATAAAACCATAAATATAAATACAAATTTAAGTTTTCTTTGAATCACTTTTGAATCAGGAAATTCACCTTTGATGAATTATCATGTGATAAGATTTAAATAATGATAGATAATAGCTGTATTTCACTGAATTGAAAATTTTATTTATCTGAATTATTGACCTGACATTTAAACTGAAAAAACAATACATTTGCCTAGCATGCATATATTTGAGCATTGTTACCAGTAAAAACATGTACCATAAATAACAGACATTTAAAAGACATGTAAAGTTTAAGGATACAAGGGAAGGAATGTCATTTTACATATAGTTCAAAATGAAATATGAGTTGAGAAGCTGCAGTGTAAGTTGCGAGTGTCATCTTTCCTGAAAAATACACTTTATAAATGGAGTGGGATATGGGTATGGGTGTTAGTGCAGCTGCAAATATTTCATATTGGGAGTGCAACTTAGCGTAAATAGAGTTAACAAGCACAGGCTCTCAGAGGTTTATGGATTCAAAGGGGGAGGGGTCTTGGCTTCATAGGTATCAAGGGAAGAGCATGTTAAGCAGATATACAGGGGTTCTCGTTTTTGTTTCAAGAAAGAACTCAAAAGAAATATAATAATAGGCACTGTCACAATGTGTGTTCTGCTTTAACAAGATATAGGAAAAGGTCAACCAGGGTAAGTAATGAATGTTAACTATATGTCAAAGGATTATAAACATCTGATTTTGGGTTACTATTTACTCTATATGCCTTAAAGCTAATTGTATCACTGTAAAAGACACACTTTCTAGGCTGTTCTAAACTTTCCCCAAACATAAAAGGCTGGAGTGCAATCCCTCCCATCATCACATAAAAACTAACAAAATAGCTCACTAATAGCTGCAATATACAAAAAGCATTTCTTCATGCTTTTAAGTGTTAATTAAGTCCCCATCCCCTACACAAGTCCATTAAATTTTTAAAAAAAGCACATTGCTATAGCATTCTAAACACATAAATACCAACCAGAACTTACTGAAATATCCTTGACATCAAAATAAATTTGTATTAGCACAATTGGATATACATAATTAGGGCATAAAGTCATGTACAAGGGTGACAGCTGTGAAAGCAACAGGGATATCATGTGTACAGTCACTGCCATATATTATACACTGGTGCAGTACGTATATGTATACTTACTGTAATTCCTTTGATCCACAACCCCAAATTTGTCTTTTAAATTTAAGAAGTATATATACGCTATTACAATGACAGAATCACACGCACATACTCTGATCATTTCTTAAATAAGATACTTCATATTCGCATGAACTATTTTTTATTATTTTTATTTTATATTATATTTTTAATAATTATCAATGTTGACAATTTTACTGGCTTGTATTTTGTCAAAATAAGCAGTCTAATAACACAAAACGAAATTTCTCTGACATGAATACTCCAATAAGAGCCGTACTATATAATATCAGTTTTTGTACAGTAAGATGTCCATGGATAGCTACATCACATGGTAATGTTAAACTTATGTTGATATTGCTGCATATTATACTAGTACATGAATTATTGCTGTTATCAAAAGACAAAAAAAAATCCTCATGTTTTCAACCTTATTCTTACAATGATATCACAGTACATCATATTAATATTAGTATCAAAATTTATTTAAAAAAAAGCAAGATTTTTAATGACATCACACATCATATGCACTTACCTACATCCCAATTGAGATAGGAAAAAGGCGAGCCATCTGTCCATCGCCAGCCTCCTTCTGACTTCAAATCATTGCCACCCAGCCAGAATGTAATGGGATATGCAATGGCAGAGATTTTGCCTGAAAATTAAAAAAAATAAAAATAATAATAATATTACAGGTTTATTATACTCTCTTTGCAATACTAAAAAATATTAATTTAAAAATGGAGTAAGATTCAATCACTAAAAATAAATATTAAAGAAAATATTAAAAATAAAAGATAGTGTTTGTCATTCGTTAAAAAGCTAAAAGTTCAAAAGCATGCACAGTTCATTGACACAGAAATTGATTTGGAAATTTATTACTTTGAAGTGGTATATATGCACTGTATCAGTGTATGGGATTGTTTTATTTATTTATTTATTTATTATTACTTTTATTTATTTATTTATTTAATTTACTTTTTTTTTTAAATGTTTGAATATTTATNTACAATAATCTAGTAACTTAAATAAATATTTCCAAATTTTAAATGACTTCACTGGAATATTTCACAAAATAAATAAATAACAAAATAATCATACTGTTTAAAATAAATTTGTTTAAGCAATTTATACATTATACTAAATTGATTCAGACTGTAGTATTTGATTTGGTTACATTCTTTCAGCACTTAACAATTTCAAGCTATTTGAGATTTGTGTGCCAGCAGTTGGCTAAGCTGGCCAGTTGGATGGAGTTTTACTGACCAGCAAAGATCTGGACACAGGAGCTGTTGAGCTGACCACTGGGCTGGGTTGACCAGTTGGGTGAGGTTTTACTGACTGGTGTCCCATCCACCCACTCCAAATTGCTCCCATCAGAAGTTGCTATAATAGAAAAGATAATGGCATTCAATTTAATCATCACACAAAATGATTCCTTTATATTTTTAATTAGTTCTTTTTTACAGAACTTTGAAAAGTATCTACACTTTAGTTAATTTTGAAAGTACTGTCAGTCATAATTTCGGCCATTATTTACTTTACACAGGCCAATGTTTAGGCAGGAAAAAAGTCCTGTTCTCTAATCAACTTTGGCTTATTTCAAAGGGGAAGAAATGATAAAATATGGAGTAAATAGAAGTGTAATATCTGAAATATTAGCAAGCCTAAGAGGGTTTAAATTGTTGATTTCAGAAATGGCCACTTTGTGTTAGGGTCTATTCCCACAACTTTAGATCGATCTATCACCGCGGGGAGTCTCACTAGATTACTGTCAGATAATCCCCCTTAAGTGTCCGTCCCCGCCTACTACAAGCTGTAAGAGGTAATTAACTTTCGTGTCCGCCCGGCTGACAGCTATTTAGCGTGAACCCCCAGGGAGTTAGGTCGATCTAAAGTAGGTCGATCTAATCTATGGAAATGGGGTGTTAGGTATGCATTACTGTCACATCAATGTGTGTAAAATACATGTAGTTACAATCAGAAAATCAAACTTCCAATTTAATTTCTTACAAATAGTTACAGTGATAAATTGGGAAAATAATTTGGCAGATGACAATTGTTATGTCATACTGCCAACACATATCATTAGTCACTTGCTTTATATCTTCCATGTGTTTCAGTAGTTACATTTTATATTTAAAAATTTTGGAAAGGAGAATAAAACACTCACTCTTGGCACCAATCCAAAATGAAGAACTCTGGCTAAACTCTCTTTTATTCAACTTCAAAAAATTTTGAACTTCTGGACTGAAAGAGGACAAATTAATAAACCAATCACTCAGGAGAGTTTTAATTAAAGAAATAGACTCATTTGACGCTCTAATAAGATCTTCCAGTCCAATATGACAAATCCCAAGTACAAAAGGTCATCCAAATATCTGTAAAATCTGGAACAAAAATCTACTAATATATTTGGCACTAAAATTGAGAATGAACCACATTAGCCTGCTTCATCAACATTATTATTAAATTTTGGTCTTAGCTTACACTGCATGCTAAAGTCAGACAGCCAACAATGTAAAATTTACTTTCATCATCTTTGCATAAACTTATTTTAGACTTAAGTGTTGTCATGAAACAGACCACCCCACACACAAAAAACACCATTCTTACTTGTAAACTGTGACCATGCTGCCTCCTTGTGAGTTACAGTAGTCAACAGCGTCCACAAAGGACAATCTCAGGTTGGAATTCAGTTGATAACACATGTTCTTGTTGATCTTCCATCCAGCTGCACAAGTTCCTGAATTATACAGAATATAGGAATAAGTGAAAGCTTATTCTATTAATGTTCTTAAGATAAAATAAATAAGATTTTCTGCATTTCTCTTTGCCATTGATACTGAACTAAGATAATTTCACTTTCTTTTTTAGTAAATGTACTTCTGAATACTTTTACAAATGCTTCCACCCCCCCCCCCCCATAAAAAAATTAATAAGTAAAGGGAGCAACCTGCAGAAAAGTGTATATAAAACAAACAGAACTGGCCCAGAATAAAAAAGTTTAAGTTCTTCTTTCATAAAATGCTAAGTGCAGCTACAAAATCATATACATCTATCAGCTTTCAATGAAATCAATTTATTTTGTAATACCTTCAGGTTTTTTACAGATGTATGGTCTTTCTACAGAACACTGAGCAGTGGCCCAAGACTCACTGGCTGTCAGTGCAGTAGTTATTATCTCAACACACGTTGTATTGGCCCTGGCTCTGAAACAAATAAGAAATATGTGAAGACTATCTTAGCAAACACAATGTGAAGTACAGCTTACACAAATCACAGTCAAGGAAATATTGGATTTGAAAGACTTAATGTACGTTCTACCCAAGGATTCTACCACAGTTAAGTATTACTGTAAACAGATCTGACAAGGTATTTTTCTCTAGCTATGGTTACCGAATCATCTGGCACAGTGTGACTTGACCATTTACTATACAACACTCCATTTGTTGCTTCTTACATCTCACACAATAATCTCAACAAAACAGTGGTGTTCATAAAACAGTCACTGTGGCATATCCATCAATTATAATATCAAACACAAAATCTCATCACAACCATTCACAATGGTACATTCTCAACCAGTCACACCAAATGCAATGTAAAGTTATACTTTTCCACAAATGGCTGTC